TATTCCAGCACGTACATTAAAGCCTATTCATTTACTTAATAATAATAATAATAATCAACAACAACAACAACAATCATCATTATCAACAATAAATAAAATCTATGAATTAGATAAATACTTATTACGTAAAAAGAATTGATATTAATTCTGTTAATGATATATTGAATCGTACGGATTATAATATTGAATCATCTGTAACACATCGTCATCCATCAGCAAGACATCTTGTTGGAAAGTTAAATAATGATGATATATCATCAATAACTACAACAACACAACCAATAATAATAAATGAACATGAACATAAACGTATAATAGCAACAAAAAATCCATTTTCAACATTACCATCACGTTCATTATCAACTAATTCAAAAAATGATAAACATCATTCAATTATAGCTAACACAAATGCTTTAGTTGAACAAATACAAAATTCTCTAAGTCGTAATTCTTTAGATGATACACAAATTAATTCAAAAAATTTATCATCATCAACAAAAGATTTACGTGCATTTGTTTCAACAACATATTCACCATCACCATCTGATGAAAATATTATGGATGATAATGGTAATGCTCAAAAAAGACAACAAATAAATAATACAAATGATCAATCATTTAAAAGACAAGCACGTTTATCGAAAAGTTTTCATAATGTTTCAGAATATAATAGTACAGATCAATATCCTAAAAAAGTTAATAATAATAATAATAATTCAACAACAAGAACACAACCATCAAAATCTGTTGAAAATAATCTTAATCAAGTTAGTCAAAATCAAATTAAACAATCACATATACCATTAAATTTAACATCAGTTGTAACACGTACTTCATCTTCAGCATTACAAAGTTCAGATGATAATACACGAATGTTGGTAAGATTATAAAAAAATACATCTAAACAGTTTGAAATATTACCATAATGTCTGAAGAATTTATAGGCATCTAAGACGTTGTATGATTTATAAAGGCCAATATTTCTCTTTCGATAGACACAAAACTAGATTCATAAATGAGATTGTTCAACTGTCAGATGCCATCCTATATGTAATTATAGTTACGAGTATATCTCGGTAAGATTAACAAAAGTATGCAAGATTTTGAAGCTCATGATTTACTAATGTCTATCTAAAAATATAATGACAATGAGTATTTTAGCAATAACTCAAGAACGAAATATCAAAATTAGATTAGTCAACAATTGAACAATTAGATGATTTTCGAAAAAATATATTCTGAAGCTACTTCTCTTTCCATCTATGTAAAGTTGACATTCCTAACTTGTTCCTTTTGAGAGTTATAAGACTTTTCCTGAGATCTCCCACATCAGCCAATTGAACCGTGACCATCAGAAAAAGCAGCTGGACAGGAGTAATTCATCATACTGAGTCTAATAGTGATTTTATTTTTAGGCTCAAACATGATCTGATACTGTTATCTCAATATTTCTGAAATATTGTGATGATAGTGTCAGAGCATTGTGAACCTAAAAATAAATATCATTATTCAATTCAGTATGATGAATTACACCTGTTTAGTTTGTTTTCCGGATGGTTATTGTATAGATCGAAACAGAAAAGAATTTTTCTATCGATTAGTCCTAATAAATGTATCAATTGAAAGGAAAATAGCTTTAGAATATCGTTGTCGAAAATTATCTAATTGTGATATATCGTTCTTGAGCTATTGTGAAAATATTCCGGGCGATTATATTTTTGGACAGACATTAATTAAGAGTTATGGCTGTTCTACTGAATTTTTTTAATCGAAGTACAACATATCCGACACTAACAAAATGAAGAATTGATTCTTGAAATCTATCCTAGAGATAATGATAATAGTTATTACAATATTTTGAAAGTTTCAAAAAAAACAGCAGCTTACCACAGAAAGAAGTCATAATTAAATCTATTTGAAAGTTGAATGCATTGAAAACAGCACGTTAATTCTTTTTTAAAAACTTTCAGAGTTTTTTAATGAATATAAGCTCTATTTCTAGACAATATTTCAAGATAATATTCTCTATATTTTGATATATTCAGCAATGGTATGCTCTGATAAACAAATTCAGTAGACCATAAACCCGATCTCTCGTAGACTTTTCTTAGTCTCACAAAGATCTTTTCATCGTCATCATGTCAGTTCCTACTCACAGTGAATATCAAGGCAGACATTAGATGAAAAACTAAAGTAAACTTCAAACCAACGCTCATACTTTGTCAAAGTATTGATCTATCTAAGTTCTATCAACACAGTTATTACAAACATTCCTGGACTTAAATATGAGTTTTTTCGCTGTCAAAACCAAGGTTATGTCCCTTAATATCTTATTACGATATCGCTAAGTTTTAAATTAATTTAAAAACATCATAAAAGAATAATCTATATATTCAAATATAAAATTTTGTTTTCTCTAATTTTAGTCAATGAAATGGTATACAGGTCAAGTAAATGAAAATTCTGAAATATCTTATAATGCACATCATATTGATGCTGATGATCTTCTTCATGGTCATATATTAGCACATAGTAGTCGTGAAACTCAATCATTACTTATGCGTCTTCAATCGTCAAATGATCCTCGTATACATGCAGCACTTGATGATATACGTTCACGTGTTGCACAATTTGATGCATCAAAAACTCGAGAAGATTTACATGTATTTATGAGATATCTTGAATCACGTTTACGTGATTTAAATAATAATTCATCAAATAATGATATGACAAATGTACAACAACAACAACAGCAACAATCTGATAATATATGAATAAAAAGTCGAACAAATGATTCTAATAAAGAAACCAACATTACGACAATTTGGTCGACAACATCTTCGTTCATCGAGTAGTATGGAAAATCCAACAAATGAACATCAACTAATACCATCTCGACGATCAAGTCAATCAAGTACTAATCAAGGTAGAAAAAAAAATAAGACTAATTAAATTTAATCTTTATTTTTATCTCATCGAATTATTTTATTTAGAAAATTCAGTAGTTTTTGATGATATGTTAAAATACTATATTAGGTCTTCCAAAGAAAGGAGTATCAGCATTACCACAAATGTATCCTTCTAAACAAGAAAAATCTACTCCTTTAATTTAAACGCAAATGACAATGAATAAAACAGCACGAGATACTGGTAAACGTTTATTTGAAAGTGGAACATATAAAGATCCATGTTTAATTTATGATGTAAACAAAATCAAAAATGAATATTTTTATATTAAAATTAAAGTTTGTTTTTTTTAGGAACCGAGAAAAATAGAGAAAGAGGAAGAACCTCTTGAAACATTCGTGTGATAAAAATTCAAAATGGTCATGTATTTTCTCTTTCTCTACTGTGATATAACAAAAAAAAACGAAAAGAAAGAAATACTCTTTCCAACAAATATCTTCAATTATATTCAGAGAATGACTCTGTCTATGTTTAACTCGGTGTTCTTCTTTTTTTTTCCTTCTATATAAACAATATTCTTTCTCTCTCCTAAACCGAGCCAAATTCGAGTTCTACATTGGCTAATTATTTTTTCCTTTGTGCATCATTTGTTTGTTTTCGTTTTTTTTTTAGTATCGAAATCTAATATGCAAATATAATAATCTTTATCTGTACATTTCTTTTTTTTTTGGTCTTTTCTCTAACATGCGCTTGTGTGTGTGTATGCTACATTTGATGATCTGTTAGTTCTTATTTGTCATAATAAGCTTTACTGCTATTTGTGTACAATTTTAGTGTACAAGTGGAGAATCTTTTTTTTTTCTTTGTTTGTTAAAGGTTTTCTTTTTTCTTTTCTTTTACACTAAATCAAAATAATATGTTGAATTTTCATAAGCAGAATATATAATAGTCGTACAATAATCAATTAATATATAAAAGACAATTTAGTGATACCAAAAATCAATATGTTTCCTATGTTGTACATTTTTTCGCAATATTACTGACAAAGATGGAATCAGTACTGGTTACTGGTTGGTTATTACCAGTGTGTGTTTATAATTTTTTTGCTTTTAGTTTTTCATAGAGGATGTGTAATGGAATTTTGTTGAAAGTTGACTACGTCAAATATTAGTATTCACAGATAGAATAGCATGCCAACTCATCAGTTCAGTTTCGGTGTGAATTCCAGTCCGATAGTTATCGTCTAGAAAGCACTGCATCTGTACTACCAAAATCGACTCCATTAGAGTCGAAATTACATGAAGAAAACAGTCAGATTCACAAATACCTTTCGAGAAAAACCAGAACATCAGAGAGACATTCTTATTAGTAAGTAACGCAAAAAGAAGTATATATGCCAGTTAAAAAAATTCTCGGAGTCGCTGTCAGAAAGTTTGACTCTGCAAGGCTCTCGTCAGAACATAGCCGACCATTTGAGTATCAAACCACCGTTGGTTCTTGTTTGGTTTGAACTATATGGGATGTTCATGGAATTAATGCAATTAAAATAATAAAAATCTGTGTGAAATAATTATTTTTTCTTAAACACTTGAAAATTCAGAGAAATTTAATACATCATTATAAACACTTTGTTTCTCGAAATTTTTCACTTAAAAAATTCATATATTTCACAATGAAGCGATTCTCTATTATCTATTTGAACGGCTATTGAGTTCGATTCAGACAATTTTTTTTCTTATTCCACTCTACGTTTTGTGAAGTACATGATTGTACAGCTCACAACATAGATATGTGAGAAACAAAGGAAGATTATTTGTTTTTCTTGAGATTTTATTTTCTAAAACGAAGATTAATTCAGATCATGAAAGTCTTTTTTTTTGTTTTAATTTTCAACTATTCTATTTTATAGGAAATAAAAAAAATGTCAAGTGATTTTTTTATTGAATTGATTTTCTAACATTTGACTCAATTATGAAGTTGTTTCAAGCAAAGTATCGAATAGATTTAATGATCTTTGCATAAATCAATTATTTTTCTTATGTTTTTTTTGATGTAAACTATTAACATTATTCGATTAATGTGCATTATTTCATTCATCAGTACGGCAAGATTTATGTGTAGAATAAATGATTGCTTTTAGTAAATTTTCAATATCACTAACAGAAGCAAATAGACTGACTCGAATCAATTGATTAAAAAGCAATTTAACATAATTTTTAATTCAATCGAATTGTTTTTGAATATTACTAAACTAGATGTCGACAATAGTACTCTTACTAATTAATTCAAAATATAATCCTATGATTTATGGATGCAGATCTTGTATTGCGGGAAAAGAAAAACTTATGTTTATTGGCATAGAGTTTCCATTTCCGACTACTATAAATTTTATAGAATGCTCAAAATTTTTTAGTCAATTTATTGCTTATTTTCCTTATTTCGTTAGTTGAGTCATTTTGACAGGACGTTGGTGTTTACCTTCTCTCGACTTGCATCATAAATCAGCATCACAATCGAGTTCTTTTCCACATTCTCCGACCAACTTCATTTTCATCGACATTTCACCTTTGACTCGGTAGCACGAACAGGCTGAAAATTTTATATGGAGATCTAGAGAAAATTTGTTGTCCAGAATATGATTAGTGATTACTACAGTATGTTGACAGATGTTAGTGTACAAGAGACCTGCTCGATTCTCATTGAGAAAATGGATAAACAGGTGTTAGTGGGTGTTTATAGAGTGAGGTAGTACATCTCTACATTGTACAGTGGTAACCGTGCCATCAAGTGAAAAAAATTGGGTGTGTAACTTTTTTTACTTATACTCATTTTTAATATATCAATCGTGTGTTTAAATAATTTTTATTTTTCTTAATAAAAGAAAGACTTTTGTCTTTTGGTTTTTCTTGTAGGCAGAAAAAAAGTATATTTGATTTCGATGATATTGTTCAAATATTTCGACATGAACGTTATAAGAGATATATGTGTAATCGAAATTCCACCGAAACAACAATATACTCGACATTTAACATTAGCTACTGCTTTTAAGTGCTTATCACTTGAAAAGTACAAGTGAATATATTAATAAATTAGTGAGAAATAATACTTCAAGAGAAAATTAAAATATATACAGGGTGTTACAAAAGTCAAAATTCAAAGAGGAAATTCGAACATCTCCACTGTGCTTTGACCAATCTGATTAATTTTTTTTGTCGGTGACGAAGGAGACTTCAAACTATTTGTTTTCATTATGAGACCATAGTAAATATTGCTTTTGACTGTCATTATTGGTTTCAATAAAGAAATTTTGCCTTTTCTGATTTCTGAAAAAAACATTCTATGGAGAATCTTCAGATGAGTAAAAACTTTCCAATCCATATATTGTTCAATAGTAGAAGAGAGCATCTCATTGTAACAACTTCCAAAGGATTCACTCATTTTTGTTGAGTTTTGACCGAGGTATTGCATGTTTAGTAAATTCTCAACTAGACTAGCTTTTGTACAAAGTTTTGTGATGTTGTATCTTCGTAATATCAACTTGTCAAAATCTAGGTATTTTTCTGTTGAGAGTGTCGATACAGGTATAGATATCTTTACCTACACACCTGCATCAAATCTTGATTACTGCCTATACAAAATTACTTCGAAACATGTATCCTCGATTTCTAAAACTCTTCAAGATTCTGATTTTTTTGATTTATCGAATCAACAAATATCATCATATTTGATCTTTGCGCTGTTCAATTATGTTATGATTGGCATCATATATAAAGCAAATCTCTCAAAGTCAATAGTACATCTAACTTTCAATTTCGAGTTTCACAACACGTTTTTATTGAACTCAAGATTTGATAATATCTGAGTGGATTTCTAATGGCCTATGGGTAGAATAGATCTTCATTCTAAATATGATATTATAAGTAATAAAAAAGAACACAGTACATGATAAACATATTAGCATAAAAACAATTATCTGAACAATGGACTGCCAAAAAAATAATCAAAACTGTTAGATATAAATATTCATTTTTCATTGTTCTCATAGATGAAAAAAAGAAAATGTAGACATATCTAGATTGAAATGAATAAGTAGTTTGAGTTAGACACGAGTACTTCAAATAAACTAAATCTGATCGATTAATACTTGATCCTCTTTATATTCATAATCTCGAGATATGACCATCAAATCATCGCTTGATCATATCTCTTCAATAGACAATCAAGATTTTATTACTTCGAATTCATCATCAAATCAATGTAACATATTTTTCTTATTGTTAATTATCCTCAACATTACTAATTATCACTTTTTAATTTTCAAAATATACATCTTTTTCTATATTTAACAAATGTACTATTTTATTTTGTTCGTTTTACTTAAGAAAATTTTAAAAGATTTTTAGATGACTTACTTATCATCTTTGTTTTTTTTTTTAATTGAAAGTGATTCAACTCTTCATAGGGCATATCCATGGGATATCTCCAGTCGATCCAGCGACCAGGTCCAAGTTCAGTGAAACCGAAAGTTGAAATGAACGAGAATGATGGCTTGTCAGTTCGATAGAGCAGAACTTGCTCTACAACATACACTAATTAGTTTTCTCGGCACCTTTGATTTTGGAATGAACAACTGTCAAAATTGTTTTAGGTTACAATTTTTCATCAAATTCTAGTAAAAATATCGGTGAGACCTAATCATATGGTTTGTTAGTTATTTCGAAATTCATTGAAATTTGTAAGAACGTGTTGATCTGATCATTTTGGTACTAAATTATCCAATGTTCGACTCTAATATAAATAGGTTTCTAGCTTAAATAAATAATATGGTGGTAAGACCTTCTTTTCAAGAAAAATGCATTGTTTTTTTTTATGCATAATAATCTAGAGGGACATAATATACACTGATATTATTTGATTTGTTTTTCTGTGAAAATAGAATCGAACATTAGATAATTTAGTACCAAAATGATCAGACCAACATGTTCTTACAAATTTCAATTAATTTCGAAATAATTAACAAAACATCTGATTAGATCTCACCGATATTTTCACTAGAATTTGATGGAAAATTGCGATCACAAACAGTTTTGACAATTGTTCATTCCAAAATCAAAGGTGCANATCGTTGTGAAAAATTGTTATCTGACATTAGATATTCTATCGTATATAATATTAAGATTTAATAGTGTTTGCGAATTAAATCTATCAAAAATCATTTTATATCTTTCTATTGTAGTTCGGACATTTATTCTGAACATATAATGTATACGTATAGTTAAGACAGAAAAATAGATGTAATATTGAATATGGAACCGAACATTCTATGTGGATCAATTATATTATTGGGAACATACATTATAAGCAACACAACATGAGACAAAAAAATCTCTTTTTTAGCTAACAAAAGAAATAAGATCTAGAGTGTGGGTGTTGGCCGACGTGAAAAGATATCATCCACACCCACACTCTCTGTCAACGGAGTAAAATATAAGTCATATTAAGTATTATTCTCTTACTCAACTGTTCTTTTAAACTCAATTTCTCAGTAGTTTGAACTGTACTACAGTCACAAAATTTGAAGATTTACTAAATAAGTTAATTTTAATGTGTTTTAATTATTTCGAATTCTATCAATTATATGAAACATTGTTTTTCTTTAAATTAACGTTTCAAAAAAATAATTCTATACGACATTAAAAGATTCATGTTGATTTTGATGCAATACCACATGGAAAACATTTAACATTTTGTTTTTTATTTAAATCAGTTAACAAATATAAGTGTAAAAACTATCGATTATCAATTCGGACTGATGATCAATATCAATTTAATATATTTTTTTCGAAGATGCTTTATTCAAAGATAACTTTTCTAAACTAACATCATTAAAAATAAATGATATAAAACTTGCAACTTAATATATGACAAAAAGTTAAAATTCTATGAAACATTAAAACGATTAAGTTTAATGGAGAACATCAGTGGAGAATACTGAATTAGAAGGTAAGAAACTATCTTAATAATTGAAAACTGATTAAAGTATGATTAAACCTAATACGCAAAGTAAAAGAAAAAGAAAAAAATACTTTCGCTATAAAGGGTGTTAGCTAAGTTCTGATTCCCTTATTAATTTTTCTTTTTTCACGTCATTGTTTGATTTGAAACGCTGATATTTACAGTACATATCCATGATATGAAGACCTATTATGTAGCAAAATTTGGGCTTTATACTCTTTATTAATATCAGGATTAAAGTATCAGAAAAGACAAAACGAGAAATTTTTCATTCATATCGAGCAGTTTTGAGAACTTGATTACAATAAATATCTGAACTGGTCTTAGTCGAAAACAAATTAAAAAATCAAAAAGTTCGTTTGAATTAAAAATAGATAACATCAATTAATCATTAAATATTTGTTCTCCATTTTTATCGATCACTAATTTCAACTGTTTCGGTATTTTTTCCATCATTTGTCGGCATTTCTCTGCAGTAAATGTTTTCCAATAGACTGCTACCTGCTCTTCCAAATCTACTTCGCCATCAAATTCTTGCCCTCGTACCTTTTCTTTAATTGCACCCCAGACTTTCTCGATCGGCCAAATATCGGCAAATTTAGCATCACCTGTTTTCGGATCGATCCGTTCATCAAATAGATCAGCAACGATATTTTTGACAAGTGTCGTCCGATGTTTGTTATCCTGATCATCTTGAAATATAGGTGTTGCACCAGAATTTTCAAATACTTCATATACTGCTGGTGCGGCCTCTTCTATTAAAAATTTGGAATATAAATCACCAGTTAAGTACATTTTTTTGTTTTTTTAACATGGTATTGTGTCTCGTGTAACCATTTTGTTAAACTAATCGATGCATCGACAGGAATAAGACCATTGGATGATATTGCGCCCCAGAAAATGATTCATTTTTTAAATTTATCTGTTGGTGCATTGATTAAAGATGATGGTATAGATTCATTTTCTTCCGCCCATATACCATCATTTCTTTTATTCTGAAATGGTTGTAAAGTAAATACACCACTAAAATCTGTATTAACTACCCTATCCCATTTCCAGTTCTTTGCATTTCTACTAACACCAAACTTCGATCTCAATCTTTTAGCACAATCAACTCTATCGATTTTATTTTGATATGATAGTTTTTGAGATTTTCTTGTTTTAAACCATTTTAATTTTAACTTTCGAGCAGCTTTATAAACTGTATATGTTGAACATCTTGTTCCATTTTTATTCAAATTCGCTGTGACATTTCTAATAGAAGCTCCTCTTTTTAATCTCATTGATGTTTTCACTTGCTGTTGAAAGATTGGTGTTGATATTGTGATCGGACGTCCTGGTCTTTGCCTATCATCGATGGTGTTTCTTGTCAACGTTCTTTTAACTTTTGTTAATAATTGACGACTTTTTAATAATGGAGGATTTTCGGATTGTCGAAGAAAGGTTGAAATTTGAGATGCTGACCATGATGGATTTAAAGCTTTTAAGCCCAGAACAAGAGATCGAAATTCTTTTTTTTCTGGTGAAGTATTTGGCATTTGCAAAAATAAATCAATTAATCTTATTCTGTACACGTAAGAAGCTATATTAACATTCGACTTTTACTAAAAACCGTGAATACGATTTAGAAAAACATTAATTGTATAAAAACGAACTCGGTTACTGGTAAAATTACCTTGTGTCTGCTTCTAACATACTAGTACAAATTGTTGTTTCTGCACGTGATGTTCAAAAGGATAAAAGAATACAATATATATTTTTTTGGTTCAAAAAAACATCAACAAACGACAGAACGCAATAAAAACGAGTTAGCAAATCATTATTGATTTCACAATGAATGATTTTCGTAATAAATACAAGTTTTCTGAACCAAAATGATCACAATTAAAATGCAAAATTTGCTTTATTTTTTTCTGACACTTGGAATGCAATATTAATAAAGGGTATAAAGTCCAAATTTTGGTACATAATAGGTCTTCATATCATGGATATGACCTGTAAATATCAGCGTTTCAAATCAAACAATGACGTGAAAAAAGAAAAATTAATAAGGGAATCAGAACTTAGCTAACACCCTTTATGCGATGATAATAAATAAGTCTCAACACCAAACTTTTGATAAAGTTGGCCTCTATCTTCTAGAACCATGCTTTTCTCACGGTCAGTTTTATACAGGATCTTCAAGAGCAACGGAATCTAATGGTTTAAAAATTCAAGTAAAAGATACTACTAGACAGGACAAAACGGATAATGGACAACTAGTAACAGATAATATTGTTTATCGGAAAATTTTTTCATGATTTTTGTATATTTGTTTTTGTAAGTTCATAACTTTAGTAATTTTTTTTAATAATTAATAAATCAAATACTAATCCAAATTCTTTTATTAAATTAACTCTTCGTACAATAGTAAAGTCTGACTCTTCACAGGCACCTCTAGTAAGAATTAGATTCTTGTTTAATCGCCTAATGTTTATTAACTTCGATAGTGAGTCTTTCTCGAGAGAATCAATCTTGAACTAAACAATAATCAATAGTTTGGAACCAATAACAGATTGCCAAGATCAATTTGAATGTTGTGTATCGACGATCTTCAATGAATTTGTTCACAATACCGAAGGAACCAGAAAATCTCTTCAGACAAGCATAACATCCAATAAATCTCTTCGAGTGGAGTTCAAGTCAATTTGAAATCTTGTTTTAAAGCATTCTGACTTCTAAATATTCTTTGTTCGAGTCTTGTCAACAGAGATCAGCATCGGATTAAGTCGAACAATTCCGTATATATTCAGTTCCATGAACTCGATTGATCCACTATTTCGAATGTTTTCTTGAAATTATCGATATTTCTCGAGATAAGTGAATGCGAGGTGACTGTTTAATAAATCAATATTTCCTTAAGAAATAAATAAACAATTAGAGTTGATCATTTCGCCAACTTTATCAAATAGTTGAGGGTGTGGGGTGTAGGTGTGGTTCTTCATTTCATCCGTACCCACACACCCACACCCACACCCTTTTATCATTCAGGCACAAGTTCTCTATGAAATTCACTTCTGGCAAAAGAAACTTTTCCTAGTAATTCCACTGGTGGATCCAATACTCAATGGTGCATGTTAGGTTATCGTGGATGGAATGGAAGGCAGCTAATAATTATTGACACGCCTGGTATATTTGATACACGCGTGTGCAATGATGAAGTGGTAAAAGAAATTGGAAAGTCAATTGCAATGTCGTGCCCAGGTCCACATGCCGTCTTACTTGCTATCAGTGGATCAGTTCGATTTACAAAAGAAGAATGTCAAACGATTGAATTGTTAAAGAAAACGTTCGACGATGGACTTGTCGATTACACTATAGTTGTTTTCACTCGAGAAGATCAAATGTTAAAGAAAGACTTGACGATAGACCAATGGCTAGAGAAGGCACCACAGGAGTTGGCTAAGACACTTGACGAATGTGGATGTAGTTTTTTAACTATCTGCAATGATGCCGACAAAGAAACTTTAGATTTCAAATTGGTGAAACTTAATGAAATCATAGAAAAGCTACTCTACAAGAATAAAGGTGACATATACACAAATGACATGTACAAAATAGTACAGAGGGTGCTAAAAGAGAAAGAAGAAAATGCTCAACGCGCCGAAGAAGAACGTATAAACTCTGAAGAGCAAGCTACGAGTATAGCCATTCCAGTAGAAGTAAGTTTTAGTCTTATTAATGAATACAAGGACTGTGTTTTTTAAATAGGGTCAACAAGAACGAATTAGACGGGCGGTAAGTCTATCATATATTTTATGGGTAGTTTCGAATTTTCCTTTGATTTTGAATATTTTTTTTAGAGAGCACAAGCTCGTTTACAAGAACGAATCAATGCACAAAATGAACAAAGTGACATATGGAAAACAATCCTCGAAAAATTGGCTCCTCTAATTTTTGATGCTCTGACGTAGATTGTTGTTGCTGTTGTCGGTGCACTCACTAATTGGCGATGAATTCTCCGATTTCCTTCGAACATCTTTATAATAATCACTGCGAACATATATCAATACTCTCTTATTACCAGGAAATATAAAATATCTATATAACAGGAAAACAAATCAAGCGAAAACTTTCCTCTCTTGGAATAAGCTAAAAATTTTCAAATCAGAACCTTCCTTTTCTTCGAATCTATTCTATCCGAAAAACAACTAACTCTAGTAGAACTGCTACATTTTTCGAAACTGCTTTTTGAACAGATTGATGCATCATTTTTAGTACATACTATTGGCTTTTAGTGACCTACCTCAGTAAGATGAAGTGGCATTTCATGCAGTTGCAGAAGTTGTAACCTAGCCACATTCAAAAAATGGCATCATTCTTTTCTTTGTCGCACAAAAGAAAGTAAACAGTGTGATTACGCATAGAACAGCAGTGCATAAACAAGAAAAATGACCGAATGTTTACCTAATGAACTATAGTTACCCATGTAAAAATTTTTACCCAAAAAAGTGACTATTGAGTACTTTCAATAGTATGTTTTAAGCAGGACAAAGTACTTATAAGTGAACCTTTTTAAGTATTTTTCATACTTTTTGACTAAAAAGTATATTTGAAAGTAGGAAAAGTATGAGAAAGTACTATAGAAAGTGGAAAAATTATCAAAAAGTACTATAAAAAGTGAAAAAAAGTAAGAAAAGTTACTTTGTTTTACTTTATTACTATTAAAAGTGACTTTTGGTTCACTTTTCTTTTACATGGGTACTAATTTTCAAATATTTACATCAAAACGATATTTTATATTCGTTCAACAATTTGAACAAACGTTTTCAGCAAATGATACTGTCTTATGCAGACAATGTTGATTTAAGTAATGCATCGTTTGAAATATTTCAACGATTTTTTCAACAGATTGTACTGATACACTATGACAAAATTCGTTCATTAACATTGAAAAATAAATCATAAATAGAATTATTTGATGAAAATTTATTTCGTCCACCGGCATATTTAGAATGTTTAACATTGAGTGCTTTCAATACAGACGATACTTATCATGGTAATGATAAGGACATAGACGAGGAAGACTGTATCAAATTCAACCTTCAAAAACTAAAATTTTGTTCACACTGAATCGATTTTCATATCTTGGGTAAATTTTATCTCGAAGATACTCTTGAAAATATGGGTCAGTGCATTTCAAAATCTGGTAGATTGGCAAACTTAACCGTTCTATCAGATTTGGCTATTCTTGAAATCTATTTCAGTGACAATAAACATCAAATTCGACTAATGCCGAATATAAAATCATTAACACTTCATTTACGATCTTTAACAGATTTACTTCATATTATGCCAAGTGTGATTAACATTATAGAATTAAACCTATCTATACTTGATTTTGGTGCGGATTTTAGCAAATACAACAAATTAGAATACCAAAATCTTTTGAATAAATTACATTTCGAACTTCATCAATCATCATCCTTACAATTTAAACGAATGAAAAAATTTTTATCCTTATTTCAAAACCAGTTGCAATCACTTACATTGATCGCCATATCAGGTATCAATGAAGAATTTGCTATTTTTTCGACCTTATACAGTAGTTATTGTTCGGAAGTTCCTCATCTTACTTCATTTCAATGTTTAATTAGAACAATTCATTGTTCTTCTTCCATCTGGCTTCGATAAAGTTAAAAAATTACCGGATGATACCTACGAGGTTTATACAAGACTACGTCCTATTATTGTATTTGAGAAACATCGACCATGTCAAAATAATTATCGAATTAATTCCGAGAAAGATCGTTCATTGAAAGAATTGTACAATGTAACTTCAATTGACCTCGAGGATTGGTTACGACCTTTATCCATTATTGTGGAACTCTCTTGTTCATTTATGCTTACAAATCTACATAAAGTTGCATATAATGAATCCACAGAATCTTAGTCATACAATGGATGAGACAAACATCTAACTATTCTCAATAATAGTTGATTTAGCACAAACTTGTCAAGTCTTCGTCTTAGTACAAAAAGTTCAGCTCAAATACTCAAAATAGTGAAACCAAACAGCATCAGATTAAAAAAGATAAGAACACTAAGTGTATATTCTGGAAAAAATTCCTTCTTCGTTCGTTAGTGAATTAGCAGAACAGAGCACTTTTCCTTATATTCGAGATCTTTATTTACGTAATATTTAACCTACTACCAAAAACAATGACAGTAAATATTTAACACCAAAATCAGCAATTAATCATGTACAGAAATATTATACGTCCGTTATACATTTAAAAATAGGCATGAATCTAAGAAGTGACATGGATTATCAAATGTATGAAGAGCTACAAACATGGATGGATGATCAACGATACAACTACATGCTATACTCTATTTCTACCAATCGCAACGACTTAGATATATGGCTATGGAATTCATTGGATTCGATTGTATGAATATGAGGGTATGTGTAAAAGTCGTTCCTGACTTTACACCATCACCTTGATCATGCTTTTAACAAGAATAATAATACCTTCACGATTTTTAACCCAGATATAAAGTGTTTGGCATTGGATATCTAATAATGAATCACTCAATGTAATACATTCATCTTCATTGAAATAATAATAATAACCTAAATGGAGTTTACGAAATGTTACATTTGTTATTTTGAATAATAATAATTGAAATGGTAACGATGCATGTTGAGGAATAGTTAATTGGTATAGATGAACTGATTGATCAAGTAGAAATTGTAATCGAGAATAAAAACGATCAGTATAAGACGATACTGTAAGTGAATAGAGTCGTTTTAAACTTGGACCTAGAGACTAAAATTTATCATTAATAGGATATTCTATATAAACTTTCTGAATATTTGGTAAACTAATATTGGATGGGATTGGCATGTCAAAAACACTATCATAGCAGATACAAGTTATGTTATCCAAAAACTCTTGTTGATTATCATGTAGATATGTTGATTGTATCGAATCATGTTTATCTTCATAGTAATTAATACCAGGAAAAATCATTATCGAAAAATGTTTAAGATGAGATATATATTCAAACAAATCATTTATCTGATTTCGTGAAAGTTTATTATTATAAGGTGTCGGCAATGAGAATTTTCAGAAAAAAATGTTTTTGTCTCTTTTTACATCATTTGATAGAGCTTGAGCTGCTGATCACGAAAAACTATCTTCTAGCTTCAACAAAAATGCTTCTTTCCGGTCGAAAAAAACACATCTTTTTTAAGATAAGTAAAGCTTTCAGCTTCGTCCTTTTTTCTAGCTTCTGAAAATGGTTTCCTCAGATTCGGCATCAAAAACTGAGTTTAAACAAATTATTAAATCGACTATAGACCCACAACTCTATTGGTGGCGGTGCTTCGAATTGTGTCGAGTACACTATATACAGGTCGATTTTGTAAACTTATCTAGCTTTTCTACGTAAGTGATAAAGCCAAATATTTTATCTCATTCGATTCATCATATGACTAGGCAAAAAAGTATGCATCGCTTGTTTTTTCTTTCGTTTTCTTTGTTGAGAAAAATCGTTTTTACTGGTATCGAAGCCATTTTAGTCGTATTCAACGATTTTCGGATTCAAATAAGGCTTTTTGTCAAAAACTAAATACTGTTTATGAATCAGTACAAAAACTGAATCAAATGAAGTATCTTTCAAATTAATTTGACAACTTTCAACTTTTCTCATTTTTTCAGGTATTGTCAGAGGAGTGAAATTTTCGTATATATCAAAAATTGAAAGTTGTCAAATTAACTTGAAAGATACTTCATTTGACTCAATTTTTTGTACTGATTCATAACCGGTATTTAGTTTTTGACAAAAAGTTTTATTTGAATCCGAAAATCGTTGAATACGGCTAAAATGACTTTGATACCACAAAAAACGATTTGTCTCGACAAAGAAAACGAAAGAAAAAAAACAAGCGATTCATCATACTTGTTGCCTAGTCATATGATGAATCGAATAAGATAAAATATTTGGCTTTATCACTTACGTAGAAAAACTAGATAAGTTTACAAAATCGACCTATACATAGTGTACTCGACACGATTCGAAACGCCACCACCAATAGAGTTTTGAATCTATTCATCTCGAAATGACTGTTTATGAAAAAAGCAAAGTCAACAATAATAATCAATACGAATTTTGAGAATTCTCGTTTTGTGGGAAAAGTAGAACTATACGATGAAATCACAGTGCATTGTTTTTTTCTTGCAATAGCTATGAATTCTCTTCGACACATTGACGATAGTCAGTGATGTTATCTTTTCTACATTTGGCCGTTTTTGTAACTAACTATGTCTGTATTTTTCATTCTTTGCTTCTATAACAATATATTACGTTTCATCTCGACCTAAAAATTCTAATTTCTAAATCTATTATGATATATTTACGCATAATCTTTATGTTAATATTCTTCCTTCTATTGATTGGCGTTATTGTACTCGATCGTTATTTGATTGATAGATCGCCTTGGTTACATTTCGAATCAAGTACTAAACAGCGAACAGGCGGTATACCCTTCTGCGAGCATGATAGAGCTGGCAATGTATTACGAGAACGAGCAAATTCACTCTCAGATTTCAGTTTTCTTGCTGTCGGATTCTACATGCTTGTTCGATCAATCGAATCCCAGAAAGAAAGTCGTGCAAAACATACAATCTTATCTACAATTAATGGAATTGCTAATTGTGGACATGCAATTGGATCGGAACTCAAGCATGCAGGTCGATGTCAACTTGGACATCGACTTGATCTGACAGGAATGTGACTTGTTGTATCTTTCATCGTTCTCTACAGTTTAACACGTCTTGCTTATGTGAAAACACAGATCTTTACGTTCATTTTTCTAATCATTACCTATCTTCTATGGCTTGTCAGCGGTGATTACTATCCAGAATCGTATGAAAATCGAGAAAAGATATTAACGGCTGATCTGGTTATCATCTTTATTCTATCAGAATATGTTCAAATGAAATCACAACCGATCACTAAAAAACAAATCAAATTTCTTAGTTTGAACTTAGTAGCACTTGGAGTTGGCACACTGTGTGGTTACTAAGATGCGTCAAAGATTGTTTGTTGGCTTCACTCATGGTTTCAGTTACATGCTGTATGACATGCTTGTGCTGCCTGTGCGCTTTTTACTGTCTATGTGTATTTCAGATGTGAACAACTTTTGACTGTAAATAAGAATGATCATCTTGCTTAAAAGTTTCTGTTATTGTTTTGATGATCTTAAATTCCAATGAAATTCTTCACACATCGCTCAACGGACTGCGCCCTCTTTAGAACATTGATATCATTTGATTCTTACATATCAGTTATATGACGTTTGACATTAAATAAAAGTAAAGCCACAAAAAAGGACGTTATCTTTTAAAGAAAAACATGTTATTTCGAAAGTACTTCTGAATTGAGTCAATATCATTACTCTCTTATACAATTACGCAGCCTCGTTTTTTTCCCGTTTATAAAAGAAGAACAAATTTCTCTAAAGAGCATAACCTCGAATTGAATTTCTAGGTAAAAATATGGCATCCTCATCATCATCTTTTCTGGTATCACCTTCAATATCAACAGGAAATAATCGTCGTATTGAACTTGCTGGTATGGATCTATGGCTATTAGCACGTATTGATAATGTATTTGTCTATCCATCTGAAATCAAAATTGAACAATTTAAAGAAGCACTTAGTCGAACTCTTTCATTATGGCCATTTGTTGCTGGTCGTATTCTATTAGAGAATAATCAACATTACATCATTGAAATGTGTGATAATCCTATTCCAGTAACATTCGTCATTAATAATGATTTGAAAGAATGGCCTCTCGATTCAAATGCTGTTGTAGAAGCAGATAACAAACAATTTCCAACATTTATTGATCAAGTTGATGTAACAAAATTCTTTAATAATTCACCCGTCGATGAACCATTTGTTCGTTTTAAATTAACTCATATTGTACAAAGTGATGAATGGATATTAGGTATTAGTTGGTATCATCCACTAGGTGACGCTACTGCATGTCTACATTTTTCTAATACATTATCACGATTTTATCAACAAATGGAACCTACAAAACCATTACCAATATTTGAACGCCGTTTATGGCGAGAAGATGAAGCTGATCAATCCGTTTTTTCTATACCAAAACAATTTCAAGATGCTCAATCGTTAGAAGAAGCTGGAAAAATATATGGTGACCATCAATTAAATTATGCTCCAATAAATTTGCATTTCTCCAGTAAACAACTTGCTACATTACGAACGTTAGCTGGTAGTGATAATATAACAATACAAGATGCACTTACAGCTTATATTATTTTAACATTAAATACAAATTGTTATTATAATAATGATGAACGTCGTATTTTACATACAGTTACAGTTGTTAATTTTCGTGGCGTTTCAGATTCCATTGCTCCACAAGGTCAAGTTTCGAATTCTTTATTCATGATGTTATCAAATGATTTCGATGATCCATATTCATTATCAAGTATTGCAAAAACAGTACGTCAATCAATTATTCAATTACGTAATCCCGAAATTCTTGCGTCTGGCATAGCTACTATTGATGGATTTATGAGAAAGAATGCTAGAGATAAGAAATTACCAAATCCACGACTCATTACAAATGAATTTGCTGTTAATTCAAATTATCGATTTGATTGGGCTGGTTTAGTTGATTTTGGTTATACAGATCAGTGTCGATTTTATACAATTTGGTCAGGGGCATTATATTTACGTGCATTCCGTCTTAATCCAGAAAAAGATGGCGAAAAATGGTTACCAAGAGATCGAGATGGAGCTGAAGCATCATTTCGAATAGAAAAAGATTTGAAAGAAATATTTCTTAATGCATGTAAACGAGATTTTATTGAAAATTTTCAAAATATTAAGAAATAGAAGTATTTATTTGATTGAAAGAAAAACGTTTTATTTATGTGCAGTATTTTGGTAGAGAAAATACAGTTTTCAAATATTATAAACTTGCAAATCTCCTATCTGCTTTGTAAGATATCGAAAAACAGAACAAGAGGAAAGAAACGAGAATTTTCTTTCTTTCTATCATGAGTCATAGCTCTCTTTTGAACTAACAATTCTGTACATCTGTACGTATATATATATTTTTTTTCTGTCTCTTGATTTCCCGATAATATCATCTAATGGGTGGCCCAGAATAAATGATACTCTCAGTGTTTTTGCAATATCTCGCTCAAATTGTGACGTGAATACTTGAGGTTTTTTCAAAACATAGCTCGTGCAATTCTCTACAAAACCTTCTGAAAAGATATGTTGCAACGAATAACTATGGAATTATATCCTATCAACACTATAATGCTCCAACATAGTGCACTTTCAAATACGCATTTTTATGAAATGAATTATTTCATTTTTTTCTACAAAATCAGATACGAAACCCAATTCTAATGCAAGTTTTCTGTGTTTTCGGGTGTACTCTTTCTAGCAGAGCTCAAAAGAACATATTCAGATACGATTGCGAGGTTTCAGCGGTCAATCTTCTACAAAAACGCGTTGGAATCATCGATCGTTCTTGTTATGCACCTCAAGCACTGCAGAAAAACAATTTACAAAATCCTACTCGTAGCGAAATGATAGAGAAAACGTTTTCCTTCACCTTAGTAATCAATCTGATTATGTAATAATTTTCTATTCATGATGATAAAATTAAAGTTGTGATGAACGTAAATGAAGGATTCTCAGAACGTGAATAGAGGGGAACAAAAAAAAGGTTCGTTCGAGTAAATTTAGAATATGTGAAAAAAAAGATATTTGCTGAACCGATACAGCTTTTCATGTGCTACAAAATGGCCTATTCAGTCTCTTTATATGAAGTCAAAAGAGCGGCGCAAAACCGTTAATATGTAAACGAGTGCATTGAAAGTGCGATATTTTGGAGCATTGTAGTGTTGATAGGATATAATTCCATAGTTATTCGTTGCAACATCTCTCTTCATAAGGTTTTGTAGAGAATTACACGGGCTATCTTTTGAAAAAAAATCACAAGTATCTACGTCACAATTTGAGCGAGATATTCCAAAAACACTGAGGATATCATTTATTCTGGGCCACCCGTTATAACCACAGCGTCATATAAGCCAGCAGTTAATCGTTTTCTATACTACAACAACATGGCTTCATCTTCTAAGAAAGACAATACAGTACAAGACAAACAGCAAATGTATACAACACCAAAACCACTTAGTTACTTACCTGGATGTCTTGATGAACTTCAAGAGAAACGTAATCGAGGACGATCACCATCACCCCCAGTAGTAAACAACTCTGGACAAAATTAAATGTCAAAAGTTGATTGTTTTTTATTGTTAAAATAATTATAAATTGTTTTTTCTACTTAAAGTCAACAAGAAAGTGATTATAATGTATTGGATGAAATGAAACGTATTCATAAATTAATTAAAGAAGGGTGTGAGTGTGGGTGTGATGGTGTGGGGGCAACTCGAGGTTAACGAAAACCCACACACCCACCATCATCCCTTTAATGATTGATTTCTCTTACAATCTATTTATCGATATATTACTGTTATTTATCCAACGTATTTATTTTATCAATCAGTGAGATTTCAATGTTTAATAATTTGTTTAACATGGATATTTGGATATGTGTTTCCTATTGCATTCATGTTTACTAATGAAATAATTTATAAGGTTGACAATCAAATATGTCAATTACCTCTTCGATTTTCTTTCTCTGTAATTGATACAGCACATTGTGTCTATATGATTCCTGTCTCGTTGGCAATGTTTATTTATTTTAAAGTAGTTCGATATGTAAAAGAAATGAATAAATATGTCACACCTCTTAATACATTTGCTCGTGCAGAAAGAGAATTCAAAATAGGCCAAGGCATAGTTATACTTGTAAGTATATTAGTAACACTCGTTTTTCCATATGCAATGTTTATTTTAACATCGTTTTTCACAAATCCACCAAAATATCATTTTCGAATTGATTATATATTTATCGATGTGTCGTTGCCGTCTGTGATGATTGCTTTATTTAAGTCTACAGATCCACTTAAAATGTCTCTGATGAAAGGAATAAGTGGACGACCTAATATAGTGGTAGCAACAAAAACATGAATGAAGAAAATCAGAGAGAAACATGAAAACTGAATTAATGCTGTCTTGTGTTTTGTTTTTTAGAAGTTGAAAATATATATTGGAATATTACTTATAAATATGATGATAAGCATGTCTGATATGAACTGCAGCTAATACTATTAGTCTTGTTTTGAAAATACATTAATAATGAATTGAAAACTCAGAGCTTCTTGTTAATAATGTATCATAATGAAAGATGGATGAAAGATGAATGATGTTTCGAGTTAGTCTTAGAAGTTGAGCATGGGCGTGGGTGTGTGAGTTTGGAGTGCGAAAGAAGAGAATAACCACATTCACCCTACCCCCATAACTACCATTCACACCCTACATTCCCACACGCATACCACACATTTAGCAGCAGTCAAAATACGTCGTGGTAGCCCTGACTCACCCCCATTTTCACCCTCAGGATTCGATCACATGCGTTCAGTACTCTCCGTAACTCTTTCTGACGTTTCCCATGTTACTTTCAGACTCGTTGATTATGATAATCTTTGACAGATTTCTGAATTTATAAAGTGCTCAATCAGTCCAGAGATTTCTGGGAATTTCTAGGAATTTCAANAAGTAAATCTCCACTTTTCTGGTGACCAACTTGCTACATTACGAAAATTGGCTGGTGGAGATAGTGTAACAATACAAGATGCACTTACAGCTTATATTATTTTGACACTTAATACATATTGTTATAATAACAATGATGAACGTCGTATTTTACGTACAAATACAGTTATTAATTTTCGTGGTGTTTCTGATTCGATTGCTTCACAAGGTCAAGTTGCTAATGCTGTCTTCTCGATGTTATCAAATAATTTCGATGATCCATATTCATTATCAAATATTGCCAAGACAATACGTCAATCGATTATTCAATTACGTGATTCCAAATTTCTTGAAGCTGCACTTGCTACTCTTGATGGACTAATGAGAAAATGTATAAAGAATAACAAATTGCCGGATTTACAACTTGTTCCAAATGAATTTGTTGTAAATTCAAATTTTAGACATGATTGGGCAAGTTTAGTTGACTTCGGTTACACAGATAAATGCCGACTTTATACTGCTTGGACAGGTGCATCATATTTACGTGTATTTCGCCTCAATCCAGAAAAAGATGGGAACAAATGGTTACCAAGAGATCGAGATGGAGCTGAAGTAGCATTTCGAGTGGAAAAAGATTTGAAAGAAAAGTTTATTAATGCATGTAAACGAGACATCAATGAAAATTTTAAAAATGTAAAGCAATAGAAGTTTAGTTTTTATTCTCAATAAAAAAAGAACTTCGTTTATGCAGTATCTGGGTATAGCTTAACGTAAGAAATAAACTGATTCGTTTTAGTGACAAAAATGTAAAATTTATGTTGAGATGAGTACACATGAAGCGAACTGTTATATACCAATTGTTTAGAGATTAATTCTAGTATAGATCGGAAGTTCGATTTAATCAGCTGCACATCTTGAATGTGAAAAGAATCATGTCTTGTATCTTTGATAGTGTAATACTTGGAAAATCTGACCAAAGAGTGATGAAATCATAGAACTTTTGGAAATAGAGTTCATTTAAACAGTACTATGAATCAATTGTAATGATTTTAAAGCGACTCGCAGAACTACGTTCTTGCCTTAATTACACTATTTGCTACTTAAATGTTTTAATTATTAAACAATTGATTATTTTTATTTTTATTATGAATTGTTTCATTATATATATGAAACAGCTACTAATGAATGCTTTTAGTGATGGAAGAACATAATGATTCAAATTATCTGGTTTTGGTCAATTAGAAGAAAAATATAGATTACTGACGCTATTTCTGAAACTCGGTTTAGTTTGCTGTACACTTCTGTGGAACTTCGTGGGCTATCTATCTGGATATGATTAGATAGAACATTGATAGTTTTATTTAACCATCTATTTATCGTATTATGCAGTTTATATCTAAGCCCATATTTTGTTGTTGATAGAAAAACAGCAGAAATAAATATATTTTCCTTCATAATACTTGTCATATGACCTTTCCATTAATACTTTCGATACATTTCACCTACTTGGATATCGATACTTGTTGCTTCTATGCAAGTAAATGGATCATTCGTTACTTTATCCACTGATGTGATTCTAATTAAGCTGATTTCCTATCTTTCTTTTTAAAATTTTCGATTTTCTGAAAATTTTCCACTCGACTATTTTTCAATTTCAGTTCATTTTTTTCCTAATGAGAACTTCATTTTGTTTGAACATCTATATATTAATTTGTTCATAATACGTGGATAACGTGTCGATTTTCTTATTGATTCATGTAATTTCAGGAGACTTAACATCATTTGTTTCAGTTAAATTTCTATAAGAAACACAAGAAATGTCATTATCCATAGACGAAACGATAGTTGAGATTCAGTCAGAAAATTGAATTTTCTGCTACAGTTCAAACCAGGTTGAGTTAATTTTTGCTGTCTATCTACAATATTACTGTTAACAAACACGAAGAATTAAATCAAAATTTATTCTATTGCTTCTTTTAGATTTATCAATAGTACCTACATGGCTGAAGCACTTGAAAAAAGCAGCCAACAATTCATACGACCAGCATCTTCTTTAAATAAATTCATTGGCGTTTGACCAAGAAGAAGCGCACACTTTGTAATAGAAAAGCTTCTTTTTCGAAATGATATTTATTAATCATTTTCTATTGACCAAATGATATATTCTCGTTTCAGATAGCAGCATGAAACTATCATCAAATATGAAAGCTCATGATTACAGATTATTCTATTAAACAGTAGCAACTTAAGTATGTTTCACTTCTAAAAATAAATCAAATTTACCGAACGAAAGTTAAATTTAGTTTACAATTAACATGGTAAACAAGTACAGATGATTGGAAAACAATTTTGCTCTGATGAACTTTGCCTCAGAATATATCATTTTAAGCTTAAATTTGAGGGTATGGTTTATGCACGCATAAGTACATATGAAAATTCAGCATCTTTTTTATAAATCCTTTATGACTATAATGCATATTATTTTGGACGGTTTTGCCTTTGGAAACGCCTGAAGATTCCTCATCGATTTGATAAAATTCCAGTTATAATGTGTACCACATAATCTGCTGAGTTTATACAATGCTTCACATAGAGCCACAAGACTTTATCGGAGAGCTTGTTACAACTTCTTTAGGACAAGACATGCTCGATCTAGAATCTTAAAGTCAGTTTTCAGTGATAAAGAAACCTTTCATCTATTAATTATATTGAAAGATCGCGAGAAAGAAAGTAGCAATTACCCACAAATTAGCCTCCCAAAAACAGGTACCTAATAGCTGAAATTATCATTCATATCACTGACATAAACGTAATTATACGGTAGTCCCGTATACCGTTACAATATTTCGAAAATTAGTGCCCGAAAAACACCTAAACATCTATACTTACTAGATTTTGAGAAGCCAATTTCACCAAGCAATGTTGCATCTTACCAACATCATATATTATGCAGAAAATATGTTACACAAGTGTAGACTACCCGAGTTAGATCATGTACATCAAAAACTTTCCAATTTGTCCAGATACTTCTCCCAAGTTAATCTACCTTTTAAAAAACCGAATGGATAATGTGTTGTAAACGACTATTTGGTAATTCTATGCATTAACCTTGAATATATTTTATCCAGAAAGATTGATCGTATTATTGATAGAACAGCTTATGAGTACTTTCGACTTTCAACACACTGCGCCCTCTTTCAGACATTTATTTCATTTCATTCTTACATATCAGTTATCTTCAGCACAAACAATCAATGCCGTGACAATTGACGTCAAAAGTAGAATTACAAAAGATATCAGATATTATCTTTTTACTTATCACTGACGTAAAGCTATATGTTATTTCGAAAGTACCCATGAGATAAGTCAATATTGCCACTCTCTTTCGATTTTACATGCCCACATTTTCCTCTTCTTTATATAAGCCGAGAATCTCTTCTACACAAATATACTTATAATTAAATTTATAGGCGAAAATATGACATCATCTTTTCTCATATCACCTTCGCCACCAACAGGAAATAATCGTCGTATTGAACTAGCTGGTATCGATTTATTGATTCTGGCACGTATTGATAATGTATTTGTTTATCCTTCGGAAATAAATATTGATAAATTTAAAGAAGCACTTAGTCGAACTCTTTCTCTGTGGCCATTTGTGGCTGGTCGTATTCTGTTAGAGAATAGTCAACATTATATCATTGAAATGTGTGATAATCCTATTCCAATAACATTCGTTGTTAATAATAATTTGAAAGAATGGCCTCTAGATTCTAATGTTTTAGTAGATTTAAATGAGAAACACTTACCAACATTTATTGATGAAGTTCAAGTAACAAAACTATTTAATGATTCATCTGATGAACCACTTGTTCGATTCAAATTAACTCATATTGTACAAAGTGATGAATGGGTCTTAGGTATTAGTTGGTATCATCCATTAGGTGATGCAGCTTCATGCTTGCATTTTTCTAATACATTATCACGATTTTATCAACAAATGGAACCAACAAAACCATTACCTATATTTGAACGACGTTTATGGAGAGAAGATGAAGCTAATCCATTAGTTTTACCGATACCAAAGCAGGTGCGAGAAGCTCAACCCACAGAAGAAGTTTTAAAAATTTTTTTAGCTGATCAACTAAATTATGATCAAGTAAATCTCCACTTTTCTGGTGACCAACTTGCTACATTACGAAAATTGGCTGGTGGAGATAGTGTAACAATACAAGATGCACTTACAGCTTATATTATTTTGACACTTAATACATATTGTTATAATAACAATGATGAACGTCGTATTTTACGTACAAATACAGCTATTAATTTTCGTGGCATTTCTGATTCGATTGCTCCACAAGGTCAAGTTGCTAATGCTGTTTACTCGATGTTATCCGATAGTTTCGAAGATCCATATTCATTATCAAATATTGCCAAGACAATACGTCAATCGATTATTCAATTACGTGATTCTAAATTTCTTGAAGCTGGACTAGCTGCCGTCGATGTATTAATGAGAAATAATGTTAGAAATAATAAATTGCCGGATTTACGACTTGTTCCAAATGAATTTGTTGTAAATTCAAATCACAGATATGATTGGGCAAGTTTAGTTGACTTCGGTTATACAGATAGGTGCCGATTTTATACGGTTTGGACAGGTGCATTATATTTACGTGCATTTCGTCTCAATCCAGAAAAAGATGGAAACAAATGGTTACCAAGAGATCGAGATGGAGCTGAAATAGCGTTTCGAATGGAAAAAGATTTGAAAGACAAGTTTATTAATGCCTGGAAACGAGACATTACTGATAATTTTAAAAGTGTAAAATAATAGAAGTTTATTTTTATTCTCAATAAAAAACAAAACTTCATTTATGCCGTATCTGGGTATAACCAAAAGAAAGTTCTGACTTTTCAAAATCCTATTCGAGATGGTGCAATTTTGAAATTTTTCGCCAACCGAATGGAAGAAAAGAATTTAAGCTCAACGTTCATCTCTGAATCTGGTACAATAGTAATTTTTTATTAAAATAAAGAAAACCTGAACCTAAAAGATGCTATTTTGGCTCAGTTATGCCTCTTTTCTTAGGAGCTTCGAAATCGAAGATAGAAATAACTAATTTCTCAAAAATCTGAAAAAGACGATTATTGGTGAACACCGCAAGAATGAGCATGACATTTTTTCAATTAAGATCGATCGATAGAGAAGCTTAGAAAGTTGGTCCTCTTGAAGATTCTTGTTTTCATATTTCTATTTCTCTTTGTACAGAACAATGTCTGATACAGGTCTTGCAGAGAAATTCAACGTTGTATCTTTTAAAACTGACCTCAACTCTCTACGATGGCAGCTGAGCGAGATATTCACGAAATACAAACTGTATCATTATTTCTGGGTAATCGGTTATAATTTACGTTGAGCTTAGCTAATATGAAGCGGACAGTTATACAGTGAATGTTAAGAGAATAAATCTATCTTGAATGGAATGAACAATTTTACTAGATATACATTTTGAATGTGAAAAAAAAATCATTTCTTATGTCTTCGATAGTGTAATACTCAAAAAATGTGACAAAACAGTAAAGAAATCGTATACATTTTGAAAATAGAGCTCATTTAAATAATGCTGAGTTATTTGTAATGATTTTTAAGTTACTAAGATAACTGTAGATTCTTAATTTTATCAAATTAGTTACAACTTAGGCTTTGAGGATTACAGAATTAATTATTTTTTTCTTTGATGATATATATGGTATGTTTAAATACAATAAAAATACAGGTTGCTTACGCTAATTTGAAAATTCGACTCAGTTCGCTGTACTTCTGTGGAAGTTCGGATGTCGACTATCTGAATATGATTAGATACAGCATTGATAATTTTATTTTGTCATGTATTTACCCTTTCATTTAATTTACATCTAGGCTGACATTTTGTATTACCGATGGAAAGACGGTAGAATTAAAAATTTCTTTTCTTATAGTTTTGATATGACTTTTGAGTAGTTTTGAACTACTTGAGTACTGTAACCTTTTCTTTTCATTCATGTGAATGGATTATTGGTTAATTCATCGACTGATGTGTTTTTAGTTAAACTTATTTCTTGTGTCTGTTTTAAACTTTACGATTTTCAGAGAATTTTTTTGCTCGATTATTTCTTCAATTTCAGTTTATTTTTTTATCATCAACAACTTCTTTCTGCTTAAACATCTATATATTAATTTGTTCATATATACGTGGATAACGCGTTTATTTCCTTATTGATTCCTATAGTTTCGGGCGGATTTTCATCTTATGTTCCAGGCAAATTTCTATAAGAAACAAAAAATTTGATTATGCATAAGCGGAACAATAGTTGAAATTTAACAGCAAAATTAATTTTTGTTCTAGTCTTCAAATCGGTTTCAATAAAGTTCTGTTGTCTGTCTACATGTGATGACTCTTTTTCATCTACAGGAATAATCAAAATTACCTATTTCGTGTTGGTAAAGTATAAAAGTGTGAAAAGCTACATTTCATTGATTGTCGAAGTCTAACGAGTTTTTCTTCAAGGTTCATTCTGATATTGAAGAACCTAGAATCTACAATGTTACCGTCAATCAATATGAAGGATTAAATAAAGATTTATAATATTGTTTCTTTTTAGATTTATCAATCACACATACATGACTGTTGAACTTGATAAAAGCAGTCAATGATTAATTCGATCAGCATCTTCTTTAAACACATTCGTTAATACTTGATAAGGAAGTAGCGGACACTTTGTAACAGAAAAGCTTTTTTTTCCGAAATTATGTTTATTACTCATTTTCTATTGACCAAATGATACACTTTCATTTCAGATAGAAATATGAAATTGTCATCAAATATGAAAGCTCATAATTACCGGTTGTTCTTTTAGAGAGTAGCAATCTACGTATGTTTCATCTTTAAAACTAAATTAGGTTTACAGAACGAAAGTTAAACTGAATTTAAAATAAAAATATGATTTGTCACTGGCGCACGCAGACCCTGTATAAGTATACATTAAAAATTTAGCATCGCTTTTTCGAAATCCGTTAGACTTATAAAGTTTATTATTCTGGATGGTTTTGCTGTTGAAAACATCTGAAGATTCTTCATGGACTTAATACAGCTTGAGTTTTAGTGTACTGTGCATTATCTGTTGAGTTTATATGACACTCGACATGGAGCTACAGGATTTTTTCGGAGAGCTTGTTGCAAGTTTTTCAGAACAAGACATGCTCAAGGTAGAATCTTAAAGTTCATTCGGAGTGATAAAGCGACATTGGATCTATTGATTAGTGGAAAAGGTCACCAAAAACCAAAGTAACAAATACTCAAAAATCAGGCTTCAAAAAACAGTTACCCAATAGCTGAGATTATACACTTATATTCCCAACATAAACTTGATTATGCAGTAGTCCCGAATATCGTTATAACATATTGAAAATTAATGCTCGAAAAACACTTAGACGTGTATATTTACCAGATTTTGAGAAGTGGATTCCAGTGAACAATGTATCATCTTACCGATATCATATATTATGCAGAAAACGTGTTCGATAAATGGACAATAACCGATTTACATAACGTACATCCAGAAATCTTCCCATTTTCCCAAATATTTCTCCGAAGTTACTCTATTTTTTAAAAAACCAAATGAATAATCGATTGTAATTGACTATTTGACAATCCGATACATTAACCTTGAATATATCTTATTGAGAAAGATCAAAGGTATTTCTGAAAGAAAAGGTTATGCATACTGTCCAGTGTCAACATATTGCGCCCTCTTTTAGACATTCCTTTTATTTGACTCTTACATATCACTTATCTTCAGCGCAAATAATGGATGGATATTGTGATAATTGACGTCAAAAACAGAACCATAAAACATACAATATCTGATATTATCTTACCACTTGTGACCTTGTCTACACTCGAAAAATAATTCAGTATAATTTTCTAGTTAAATCTACGTGAGTCTACACTTATGAGTTAAATGCATCAATCAGAACAGAGAAATAGCCACTATAATGTAGTCGTAGTGCATAAGTCTACCACGTATTCACGAAACAAACTGTCGCTTCTATCGCTCTTTGATATTTAATGACTGACAAATGAAATTTGTACACAATATATATATATATATATATAGTTCTAACTTATTTCCTTCCACTGTAGATTTGTTAAATACTGCAGTATTGCTTATTTTTATACTTCAGCTCCTGTTTTCTTATATTCTACAGTAAATAATGTTGAGAATATTTATCTATCAATGATATAAAGCGACTTTATCGTGGCACATTGATCATTTTAATTCGTGGAGTAAGTTCTTTCTCTATTCATGCATTAAAATACAATTCGTCTCTGAATAGCGCATTAAATCTCAGTTAAATTTTTGACCAACTACGTTTCTCAATTCAACATTCACTGTTCTAGTACAGACACAGCCTATCATTGAGTAACATGATCACGTTACTTCGAAAATATTTCTGAACTAAGCCAATGTCGTCACTTTCTTTTGAAATTACATGCTTCCATCTTTTTCTCATTTAAATAAGTAGACAAAATTTTTCTACACAAATATATTTATAATTAAATTTCTAGGTGAAAATATGACATCATCTTTTCTCATATCACCTTCACCACCAACAGGAAATAATCGCCGTATTGAACTAGCTGGTATCGATTTATGGATCCTGGCACGTATCGATCATGTATTTGTTTATCCTTCGGAAATAAATATTGATAAATTTAAAGAAGCACTTAGTCGAACTCTTTCTCTGTGGCCATTTGTGGCTGGTCGTATTCTGTTAGAGAATNGACATGGTTCTTCGAGACGATTCTCTTCATAAAGTTTCTTTTCAAATTTTAGTCTATACCATGTTCGATAGGGAATTTCAAGGGCTATCTAAATCACTATTTAGATTTGATCTAGCTATTCATCTTTGCTGAAGATTTTCAAAAATAAAGGGGGGTGCTATCATTTTGGGACCCCCCTGTACTTGCAACAGAGCATAAAATTACAAAGTTATGACAATAATGAAAATAATGAGAATTTATTTTTACATTGAATTTATTCAAATAACCGATATCTTCACGATTTATTAGTGAAATATAATGTATTAATGTAGTTTTAATGAATAATTAGGATCTTGAAAAACAAAAAAGAATATTTTGATGATAATTGATTAAATGAGGATAAAAAAATCAACTATTTGAAAAAATTTATCAATCTGAATGTGCTCTTCAATAATGAATAGTCGCGGGTGTTTCTTTTATGAAATATTTAAAAAAGTATTGTTAATTGAAGATATCTATCAACAATTAAAAGAAGAATATCATAAAGCACACCGTCGAATTGAATAATGTTTATTTGCAGAGTCATAAAATAATTTTATATCAATGTCTCTAAACAAACCAAGAGCAGAAGCTTTTAGTTCAAGTATGGATTTCGTAGAAGGATAGCAGAGTGTGGGTGTCAGTGCGACTTGATATAAGATAAATCCACACTCACATCTAAACCGACAGCTACACCCTGAGTTTAATAGAGATAGTAGATAAAATTCGGATAAAATTATTGTCTGTAATGCTTGACATGATTTCAACAAGCGAGAAAAAGACGAGAAACTTGTATGGGTTTATGTTTAGATTTGAATGCTCGATGAAATGAAAATCATCCTATTATATATTTGTTCCTGACTTTTATAATGCACTTGTATTACAAACGATGATTAGCATTTCAAAGTTAATACGTTTGCTACACACAATCGTTTACCTAATTGATAATACATTTCAGCAGAAAAATTTTGACTAAACAGAGAAATGGTTTATTAAGCATTCAAAAACGTTTTATATTGAAATAATGTGTAGTAAATGAGGAAATATGCGGAGGCAGGTATAAAAACTATGCCAAGCAGATTTTCGTGTTTTTTCTTTTATAAACAGCTTGAAAAGTTTTATGCACTTTAAAACAATTATATTCAAGTTTTCGAATCCAGATGCATGAATCGATTTACATTTATTCTTTTAAAACTCTATTCTTCATTACATGAAATCACGTGTTCTATTGGCAATGAACTTCTTTAACATGTCCCTTTGAGAAATCAGAGAAATTTCGCATTTGAATTTCATTAGAAAAATCGACGTGATTGTATAGATTTGCACTCGTTTTGAAGCACATTTTAGCGATATATTAATTAAGATGAAGCATTTATCAATAAAATATAATATAATTATCATACAATCATATGCTTTGAAAGAAAAATATTTTCATTGAAGTTAAGCAATAGCTCCAATTATATTCAGAACATTTTTCTACGATAAAACATTTTTATTAGCTTGTAACAATATTTTTTCTGAAATAGACGTATTTCTTTTTTAAGGAAACTTTATTTCATCTGAAGAAGTTTTGTTTGTACACAACTGCTTTTTTTTGTATTGCGAAAAGAATTTGTATTCACTTGATCGGAAATATTTGAGTATTGGTTAATATTACCTCATGTTCCAACAAAATTCATCGCATATCGCTTAATAGATATCGAATACAATCAACTTATACAAACGCATTTTTTACTCCATCTTCCGTTAAATGTATGATTTCTATGCGAACTATTCAACTAGTTAGTACATACATAACAAAGAGAACAAATTAAATGCTCAGTAGTTTTTTTTTGGTAAAAGCTCAGCATAATTTGCTAAGTGCTATATACAAATTACCAGTAAGTACATCAAACTATCAGTATAAAATTTAATATTTGGTAATTATTATGCTTGCTCAGTTAACTAATTATTTACTCAATAAAATAATAATTTGTGGATACTGATGTTCCTGTGCACACGTGCATTCATTTTTGTTGTGAGTGTACACGCTTATAATTACATTCTGCTGTTTGTAAGCTAATATCCTTTCATGAAGATGGCGATTTTTAAATGAATGAATTACATAGAATCGTTCACGTATATATAATTGAGTGTACAACTGCCATTATCAGAACACCTTTTTTTCTCTTGTCTTGAGATTATTCTTATAAGTCGATCCAGCTATTACGGTTAGTTGAATTGAATAACATAAATGGATGATAATTACGAAAATAATCATGTAAAGAAGCATTAGAAACATCCGTCATCAAATTCTTGCAGTTATCCATAATCATCACATCACGATGTTTCATAATGCATTCTTGTATAACTGCTAGAAATATGAATACATTATCTTATGATATCGACTACTGGAGAACTTTATACATTGAACCTTAAGTATATCCTATCATCAAGTTCAAAGATATTATTAAGAGAAAAACAAATTCATGTTTTCTGGTATCAATAAATTGGGCCCTCTTTAAGACATTTATGTTATTTGAGTCTTACATATCAGTTATCTTCGGTAGCATAAAAAATTAACTTAACGTTATGACATTAAAACCATAAAAAAGGGCATTATCCTTTTATTTATCACTCCAGTAGACGAGCAACATATTATTTCGAAAGTATCCAAGAATTAAGTCAATATCGCCACTCTCTTATGTGTAATTACGCAATTTCTTTTTTTCTCTCGTTTATATAAGTAGAAAAGTTTTTTCTGAAGAATATTATTTCGAATTGAACTTCTAGGTGAAAATATGACATCTTTTCTGGTATCACCTTCAACACCAACAGGATATCATCGTCGTATTGAACTTGCTGGTATGGATCTGTGGATCTTGGCACGTATTAATAATGTATTTGTTTATCCATCTGAAATAAAAATTGATCAACTTAAAGAAGCACTTAGTCGAACTCTTTCTTTGTGGCCATTTGTTGCTGGTCGTACTGCATTGGAAAATGATCAACATTATATCATTGAAATGTGTAACAATCCTATTCCAGTAACATTAGTCGTTAATAATGATTTGAAAGAATGGCCTCTGGATTCAAATGTTATTGGAGAAGTAAATAATCAACTATTTTCAACATTTATTGATGAAGTTCAAGTAACGAAATTATTTAACAATCCATCCTATGAACCACTTGTTCGCTTAAAATTAACTCACATTGTACAAAGTGATGAATGTGTATTAGGTATTAGTTGGTATCATCCGTTAGGTGATGCTGCTGCATGTCTACATTTTTTCAATACATTATCACGCTTTTATCAACAAATAGAACCTACACAACCATTATCAATATTTAAACGACGTTTATGGCGAGAAGATGAAGCTGATCAACCAGTTTTACCTATAGCAAAGCAGTTTTGAGATGCTCAATCTGCAGAAGAGGTTTTAAAAACATCTTTTACTCATCAACAAAATTATGATCAGTTAAATCTGCATTTCTCTGGTAAACAACTTGCTACGTTACAAACGTTAGCTGGTGGAAATAGTGTAACAACACAAGATGCACTTACAGCATATATTATTTTGACACTTAATACATATTGTTATTATAATAATGATGAGCGTCGTATTTTACATGCAATTACAATTGTTAATATTCACGGTGTTTCGGATTTCATCACCACACAAGGTCAAGTTTACAATTCTTTATTCATGATGTTATCGGATGGTTTTGATGATCCGTATTCATTATCAAGTATTGCAAGGACAATACGTCGATCGATTATTCAATTACGTGATCCCAAAGTCCTTGAGTCCGGGATAGCTACTGTTGATGGATTAATGAGAAAGAATGTTAGAAATAATAAATTCCCGAATCCACAGCTTGTTCCAAATGAATTTGCTGTCAATTCAAATTTTAGATATGATTGGGCAGATTTAGTTGATTTTGGTTATACAGATAAATGCCGATTTTATACAGCTTGGACGGGTGCATTATATTCACGTGTATTTCGTCTTAATCCGGAAAAAGATGGAAACAAATGGTTACCAAGAGATCGAGATGGAGCTGAAGTATCATTTCGAATGGAAAAAGAATTGAAAGAAAAGTTTATTAATGCATGGAAACGAGACATTATGGAAAATTTTTAAAATGTCAAGAAATAAACGTTTATTCTGATTTGATTGAAAAAAAACATTTTATTTATGCTGTATTTGGGCACAGATTAACAAAAGAAATTAACTGTTTTGAATATTAGACAAAGATGTAGAATTAATGCTGAGCTTAGCAAACATGAAGCGAATAGTTATTTACTGAATATTTAGAGTCTAATTCTATTTAGGATGGGATTGTGAATTCTATTTAGCTTGAGATTTCGAATGTGAAAAGAACAATGTCTTGTGAAAAATAAAAGAAATTGAATAGCTGTCGTAAAAATTACTCTCTAATGATACAGTTGGAAGTAGGCATGCACCAAACCTGGGTACAGACTGAGAATCCCGGGCTTGGTATTTCCGGGGTTCGGTGTACCCGGGGTTCGGTCATTCCCGGTACCTGAAATGCTGGATTTAGTTATTTATTTATTTGAGTCATTGCTAGACACTCGGAGAAGCCAGGAGCATACCGGGAATACCGAATCCGAACTTCCCGGAGTTCGGTCATCCTCGGGTTCGGTCATACCTGACTTCTAAGGATGCCTAATGCCAACCAAAGTACATGAATCACTAAATCTAATGTTTTAGGTACCAGGAATGATCGAACATCGGAACGGCTGAACCCGGGTATGACCGAACCCGGAAAGTTCGGGCTCGGTGCATGCCTAGGTAAAACCGGTCTAGACCGACAAAACCGGTCTACCGATAAAACCGACCTATAGACAAAATATCGATCTACAGACAACAGACTAAGGCTTGAAATGAAGCCTTGTTTCATAGTGAACTCTCTTGCGGGCTACCTTCGTATTTTCAGGCATATTGGCATAATGTTTCCCCGTTGATAACAATAGTCTCACTGATGGGTATTTTGAAAGTTGTTTTTTAAATAAATTCCTGCGTGATCAGTGGAACTAGTTTTGGTGCCAGTTGTTTTTTATATGATTACCATCATAGAGCTGGAAAGTGGAAACTATAGACCGGTATAAGGCGGTTTCGACCGATCAGACCAGTCAGATCGGTTTAAACCGGTCGACCGGTCTGTCCAAAGTCCAGACCGATACCGGACCGGACCGGCCAGTTACCGGTACCGGTTCCATCTCTGCCAGCAGGGTAGATTGTTGTTTAATCAAACTACAAGTACGAGAAATTATTTCAATAGGTGAAGCACATCTTTTTTTACATTTTTGTGAATTCCTAATTTTTTTTCTTATATTAGAATACATTGAAAAGACAATTATGATTATTATAATCTACGAACAACAGGGTGTGGATGTGAAGTGTGAGAGTGTTGGTGTGGTAGGTGTGTGGATCTCATCTTTATCTGCACAAACACTCTTCACTCCCCCCTCACCTACACGCGCACACGCTCAGAAATGAGTGATATAAATTACAATTACCAAAACCACATAGTTAAACATTTTTTCAAAATTCGAAGAAAATGAATAGCTATTGAAGAAAATTTTTCATAAAAAAGATTATCAGAAAAAACGACTGTGCACCATGATGTAAGCAATGATGTAACTGCTATAATAGACTTCTTTGAGATTCAATTAATGAAGGAATATATTCTAATGAACGACGTGCATTATTTAAAAGAACATTTTGATAATAAACAAAATGTTTCGAAATACAATGCTTGATTTTAAGTTTAAAAATAATACATGAGAGATAATATAGTTTATAAAAATGAAAATTACTATCGATATCAGTTTCATTTACAGAAAAAATATTATTTATAATGCATTTCTTTTTTCAGAAAACGATGAGCGAATTCTTAGCTAAGCGTTGCTTGTTTATCCATCCCTGTGAATTTCTTACGTTACACAGGTATGGGTACGGCTACCCGACTCGCGGATTGCACTACTCTAATGATTATTATATATTTCTTTCGTGTTTTTAGTGAAGTAGGATATCGACAGGTAGCCCCCAATTGTAAATCACCTCCATTTCTTTCTCTATATGGTGATTGGTGTTATGGCAATAGAAAGAAGAAGCCATTATGGATATTGAATAAAATTAAGAAAAGAGCACAAAACAGGAAGAAAAATGTTACAACTAGTAAAAAAGAATGACTTTTCCAGTATCTTTAATATCTCCATACACATTATGGCAATCAACTGAACATCAGTCTCATATGGTAGCTCAATTCCGCTTTTATTCCTTTCTATCTTAGTATGGGCTTGATAGTTGTAGTAGCATATTTTTATTGCTGTCCTTTTTATTATAATCAAGTCAAAATTCTATCAAGTAAAGTATTACCTATCTTTATTATTATTATTATTATTATTAATTCTGTATTATTGCCACTGATGACTATTTCTTTTTTGATTCGTGTAAGTCTTAGAAAAGGAAATTCGATTATGTAATAAGTTTTTAATCGATGAAAATTTATTTTGGGTAAAGTGCAGTGTGGGCGGATCTGGGTGTGACAGTGAGTATTCTGACCTATTTACCCACGCCCATATCCACAGCTATACCTACACATCCACACCCTTCGTCTGCTTTTCTTTTAAATGAATTCCTGAATTGAAGTAATAGATGATAATTTGCGAATAGAAAAACGCTTTATCAACGCTTGTTTTCCAATATGTGTACATAGGGAAGGTTGTAGATCAAGAAAGATAACACATCAATCACCGATTGATAGATTAGTCATTTTACCTTTTGAAAATAATGCAGATCGTTAGACTGGCAAAGTAAATATTGAGCACCGGAAATTGACAATTGTAGACTCACTTCGGCTAAAAATCAAGAAATCTGGATGTGTACGAGTTTAGTTGAAAACCTTATAGTTATACAATTAGTATCGAGACTAAAGCAAAATATGGCTAGCTCCATTCACTTGTAATTGAACGTTCTCAAAGGAGGACATTAAAGATTAAACAGAACCCATTACAATACTAAGATATGTCAAATCTATAGGCAGTAGAAGAGTATTAAATCAATCTTTCTGATGTGAAAATTTTTCTCTGATAGAAATAAGAATCAATAAAATTAGGTCAAACTCATGATTACTACTAACTTTCCACTCTGGTATTTACTAAAGGAAAGTCTAATTTTTTGCTCGATTAATAATATGAAACGAATCAAAATGCAAGATAACTCAGATTTATCGATCGAAAGAGACAGCATGTCATATAATTTTTAAATAGACTTCTACTTCACGAGACAGCTGATACTATGTATGATGAGCCTGAATGCTTAGATGTTGTTTTATTTAATCATTATGATACACTTCTTCAATCAAATCCTTTGTTTAAATCTATTGAACATGATGTATTAAATGGTCGAATAGATCATATTCACGTTGATAATTCAACAAATAAAGGATGTCCCAGAAGTTCTGACTCGATTTGTATAATTATTTTCCTATTATATTAAAACACATACTTAAAAAATTGTCTCTATAATAAGAAGATGAACTAAAATGCCCTCTATAAAACAGCCTATGACTGACTCTACCTAATTCATATAATAAGAAAGTTATAAGCTTAGAAATATGCGTCACAAAAAATAAAAATTAACCGTGAATATTGAGTTCACTTGCATAATCATCTTAAAGTCACCATATAATCAGTTTTAAATTTGTGATGTTCCATCTTCAGTTAGATCATAGTATTACTGTATTCGGGATCATTCTCTGCATCTGAGTGCAGTTTTATCTAAGTATTCGAAGTATCTTTCGATCTGTGTGTATTCATTTTGCGTAGTCTGTATCTCTTTGTGTTCATAATATGTTTTTCAGGTGTTCGTAATCACTCCATTTGTTTTCAAAATATCCATCTCTTTTGTATTTATGTATTTCTTTGCCACTTCGGCCTATAGATAGACTTATTTCAATCCAAATAAAGTATAAAATAACCTTCACGATTTGTTACGTGGCAGAACAAGATGTTAAACATCTTTATTTTGGAGAAGCAGTGTCGTGAACTCGTTCTTTCTGTGAAGGAAATGAATCCCATATGAGTGACATCCAGCATTGCTGATGAAATACAATCTTATGAAAAAACACATCCACTATGTCATGATGCATCAAGAACAAACACAAACCGAATATAACAAAGGGAAGCAATAAAATATAAATCAATATGTGATGCATCACGAACTGTTCAAGCAGAACAATTGAAGAAAGCAGTAAAACGATCGATATATTTAAGAAAAGGGACAAAGTCAAAGAAAAGTGGCGTTTGATTTATAACGTAACAACATCGAAGGTAAAAGAACATCGGTGCAAAGAACAATTAAGGAATTAAATTTGAAACCATTTAAACTTAGAAAAGCTGAAAAATTAATGACAGGAAACAAAGAACATTGTGTTGCATGTGCAAAAAGGTTAGTTAGAAAATTTGGTGCATAAAAACTTATTCAAAATGGTAATGGACTAAAATTGTTAATACTGATTTTTCAGGAATATTTACAATTGGAGACTTTTACAATTGTAGAAATGATGTAGTTTATGCTGAAGATGTATCTGCAATTCCTGGTAATCTGAGAGAATCACCAATGTCAAAATATCTAAGTGGAGCAATGTTTTGGGATGGAATTCGCACGAAAGGCTTGATACCTCACGATGGCCCTATTAATTTTATTCAATGGTTACGTGATCAACGTCGAAATGATAAATGTAAAAGAGTATACATAACCGGTGAATTGTATGCCAGATTTTCACGTGAAGAAGCCATTCAGCCAATTAATGAAATAGTAGAAATCGTGGATGAAGCTATTTTTCAAGATGATCGAGTTTCAAAACACAGAATGCAAGTAGCTATACATGTTGTTTATGGTCTTTTTGGAGAAAAAATTGAACCAACTTATGGAGACATTAAATTTGCAAATGTATGACTTATTGAAAATATTTGGAAAATTATGAAGGAAATAACAACAGGAAAAACATTTAAAAATCTTGATTCATTAGTTGGTTTTGTTAATTCGGAATGGTGAAAGGCTACACTTCAACACTGTGAAGCAATGATAGATAACATACACTACTTGACAAAAGTACCCCCCCCCTCGGATCTCAGTCCATACAAGAACTGAACGGGTGAAAATAGATGTGCAGATAGCCCATAAAGAATGTAGGTCAGCGGCACCAACTACACCACAGTGGCTCGAGTAAGAATGGAGTTCTAATGGATGTCATTGGTATGCATTGTGAACTTGATAACTCGAGAAAGGTAAGATATTTTGAGTCGGCCAACCCCTCATTTTGTAGCCCTAGCTAGTAGCTATTTGTACTAAAACTTTCATTAAAGTTCATCTATCTATTGATGAAATCTGATCATTTTAGTGTAAATATTGATATACCGAAAAACTATATCATACCATTGAGAGATTAATAACTTAGTGATAGTTCAATAAATTCATCTGAAATTTTCAGGAGATATTTCCCCATCATTGGGTATTGTGCCCTGAAAGTTTCAGAAGCAAATCTCTTACTAATGAAAAATGGTATGTGAATGGTTGTTGAGTTCTTGTCAAGCCTCTAGACTCTCTATAACTTGAGCGAATGGCCTCATCTTTTGACTACAGAAAGAGCATAGGTTGGGCTCCAATTCTGTGCTAAAATATCGATAATTACTTGTGCATTTGCTAAAAAACAATGCATACTTTAATAAGTCCTTTTTTTTACCCATTTTNTACATTTATTTGACATCGTTCCAGTTTTTTATTTATAAATTGAATCTGAAGCATTCGAAATACTTGTGAATAAATGAAAACAAAACAAATTTTTACATGTGAAAGCTTTTTTAAGAAAGAATTCTCAATAATTTGATGTATTCTATATGAATATGGTTTTCATTTACCGGATGATATTTCAACGGACCACATATAGCCATGTGAGAAAATTGGGATATCTGCATTTCGTAAAATTTCAGCAGTTAATTGAAGAAAATACTTCTCGACCTCATTTACCCAAATTAACGAATAAAAATATAAGGCAATTGACGGTTATAAAATATTGTGTAAACAATAGTTAATTTTTTCATCTCAGTGAATTATTTGATGAAAATTTATTAGAACAACTATAGAATATAATGACGACTCAACAATTTATATCCAGTCTATTGAGGATTGACTGAGCGTTTTATCAGACAACATATATTTCTTTAACTATTTTCTTTAATTGATATGATCTGTGTTTGTAACATTTCGTGTTTAATTCGTTCTTCTTTTTTTTTTCTAAGTCAATTAATCAGACAAATAAAATACATACATTAGATGAAATCTAAGGCAACCCAGATTTTCATCTAAGACTCAAGTAAACTCCCTCTGAAAAGATTTACAATAAGCATTTTTGATTTCTCGTAATAAAGTAGCGCACCACATCTTTAGGACCTATCAAGTCCAAAATTGAATTTTAAATATCGATTGTTGATATGACTCGTCTTTGTAAACAATAATCATAGTATTTCTGAATGTTTTCTTGGGACCAATCAGCCAAATCAGTTTTATCAGTTAGATGAAGTTTAAATGAATATGATTGAGCCAATTGTTTTATTTTATTTTCATATTCAATCAATTGATTATTGTTGAAACTAGTCAATTTAATTTTCACTCCTGAAATACACACAATAAGACAATAAATATTCACTGACTTCTTTTTAATTCCATATTTTGTTTATCGAAAGAAATACTAGTTGGTTTATCTTCAATGATTCGTATTGTCTCGAGTGGATCAGCAAATGCACCATAGGTATCGTGTTGTTCTGGTAGTAGAACGAATGAAACGATTAATGGATAATGAACTGAAGTTTTCAATTTTTGATAGGTCTCATCAATCATATATTCTGCAATCAATTTGTAATCGAAATCAAATGGCTCATCACCAATTCTTGGAAAAGCTAAAATTGATTTTGAAATTTTTACTGCAAACATTGCATAGAGTTACCGATTGTCATCAATTTATTGTGAATGGCGTATGAAATTACAGATGTAACAAATGTAGCAATTGATAGTCTGAAGGTTTTCAGTTCATTTTTGTCATATACCTATGGACTAAACACAATCTGTTTACATGGTAAATTACCACTTGTTGTTTCAAATGTCTGTATACCGCACGATGATTGTTTATTAAAGACATATTTTACTTATTCTCCAGCAGCACCGGCAATGGCATCATATAAAATTTTTAGTGTCGAACAAACAACGATTATATGGACCTATAATAAATTTATTTAATGAAAAAATATTGATTTTTCTAATGAATGCGTCAGTATACATGTAATAGTTCTGACTAAGCAATAGAACTATTAAGAAAATGTTCTCCTATCGTTTTTCTGTACAGTACGCAGGCATGAGAGCAAAAGGTAGTTATCGAGAACAATGTTTTGTCCTGTGAATCATATTCATCCTTGCAACAAATTCTCAACTTACTAAAACTTCTGATAAGAGACAAAAAAAACCGACCGATTGCTTTGTTAAATCTCCAGTGCAAACAATAATCTGTGAGTTGCCAACAGCGACACTTTCTATGTTATCTGCGATTGAAGCTAATTGGACTTGCATTGTAGAATTCGGTTGTTGCGCAGTTAGTGATGGCTGGATCATAGCTGTAATATCTTGAAACGATGTTTGAAATCTATTGGGATTTTGATTTACAAGAGCCTTAGCAGAATCATTCGTAGGTTTGTAATCGTTTTCTTGTGATCGGTTTTGCGACGTACTATCGCCAAAATGACTTTCTTCTGATTTGGATATTTCAATTTGAATTGGATCATGAATAATTTCTTTCTCGAGCTGATATTTTGATTCAACGATAGCTAATAATCGATGAAAACTATTATTGACGAGAACTTCGAAACCAGGTTGATCGACATCGAATGTTATTGAGTATGTTTGAACTGTTTGGGGTTTTGTCTAATTACATTCCTGATTTATGGTAACCTCACTCGATTATGGGCAATGTTGGCATTTGAAAACTTGTGACTTCCAAATAGGTACTGTTTCTGCTTTTCTCAGCTGACTTTTGGGAACTGAATGAATTTGCTTTTGTTTTCTTCTCTTCAAATAATTGTTGGGCGTGTTTTACTACTTTGGGTAAACCCAACAGACTAATAGTTTGTTGATCATGAAAAAGACAAATATTTTTGCCATAATTATCGCGCTGCAACAGATGAGTTTTAAGTACTGTCCATTCTTGTTCACATATTGTTTATGTACATTTAGCTAGAATTAAACACTTGCGATATAATGTTTCAATGATTTGCTCATCGACACCAAACTCAGTATGCATTTTGTCGATATAGTGTACCAATATTGAGGCTGGAGACATCTGTTGCTGACAGACACATTTGATGTTCATTACATCTAAATGATGCTGAATAACATGAACCGAGTCGTTAATTTTTATCCAATCATTATCTAAAATGATAAATTTATTTTATAGAATCGAGCGAAAAATATCTGACCGATCATTTCGTTGAATGTTTTTGTAAGACATAATTAAACTAGAGTCTGCAAATCTTGTATTGCTGGATCAATAGAGCTTTGCCGTCCAATTATTTTGACCAACGATGAACTATTTATGTCAGTGGTGTGTTCAAAATTAAGTTTGACAGAATATTTTGTATTGAAATAGATTTGAAGATTGAATTGAAATGTTGTTTTAGTGAATAAAGCTGTATGTGCGGGAACGTTGAATGATAATGTCAAGCTCCTATTAATAATCTGATCAGTTACGATAGATCTACAGAAAACAAATATAGAAATTACATAATGCTCATCAGCAGTTGTTGAATTAAATAATGATGGCGGAATCGAACATATTAATAGTTGCCTGAAAGCGAAATAGATAATGGGAATAACTTTTTAGTCATTTCGTGATCAATAGATGCTTCTGAAGATGCAGTACTTTTTGGTTTCCCATCAGTTGATGCCGTTGGCGATAGTTCCTGCATGATAAACTCCATATGTTTTTTTCGTAGTCAACATATAAAAGTTGTATTTGACTTGGCAGAATGCAACAGCATTTGAATGTGCATGAAGAATGTTGAGTTGTTCTGTTTCTTTTTTCAAGACTATTGGGGGAACAGCAAAGCTTCTCATAAACCTATAAGTTGTATCAATCAGAAGAGCGCTAGAATTTTCTCTAACCGATTCAAACAATATGGAATTAAGATGTGCTTGAATCCGATTATCGTAGATTTCAATCTTAATAACAAGTTCAGCACCAACAATCATAATTGGATAATGCACAAGAAATCGTAATAATAGAAACGTGGCTCTATAGCATGTCGTCTTGAAACTTACATCAACTATTCTCTAACATGAGTTTTCAATAAGTCGAAAAAATTGAAGTACTTTAATTTGAATGCCACGTTTACGTTAAAAATATTGTAAATGTTTGATTTAATTTTGTTCGACCCATCATCTTACGAAACGATCGAAATTATTCTAAAATTTTCGAAACGAAAACTATCTGATTCAAAACTAAAAAAAACTGTTTCGAAAGATTCTAATACAGATTAGAGAATATTCACAATGCATAATATATATTACAATGCTTGAAATATTAACTTGAAGCTAAAAACGAACTTTGTGCGAAAATTATATTGAAACTTCACTAAGGTTATTTAGAATTGAGAGAACTCAGCCTTCTCTACAGAACTTTGAGTTAACGATCGAGACTTTCGGAAAAAGTACTTTTCTACGATATAAAAATGTATTCATCTTTGCAATTACAGTTTTTTAAAGCGTGCATCTTATATTGTGTAAGTCATATGCTTCTCAAGCAAAGAAAATAGGCAGGAGTCTCAAAAAAGTTATATGTAGACATTGTAAAGATAAGCACCTTTAAAGCATCGGAAATTAATACATTTTTCATAAATCTCGCCAAAAAGTCTCAACAGTTCATAGAAGGATGAGGGCCGATGTCTGACTCTTCCTCTGCCTTGCTGACCTCGAGACTGTTTTGAACACTTGGTTATTATTCTTATAACGATGCATCACTGGATTAGGCTCACCTAACTACTGTTCCATTTCAGTCTCACTTTTTAAATTGAGAATTCCTAATGCAGTTTGCTGGATTTGCATGTTAAACTTGAACCTCGATCAATGAACCCAACAGCAAAAAGCAAGTAGATTTCATTGATGCTGTTCGGAAGGATACAACAAAAGTGTCGCATACCACTCGATAACTCTGCACATGGATAAATATTAGGACCGAGGTGGATGAGGCACGACCAATTCCTGCATGAAAAACTTTGAAAAATAACAAGAACCTATTTCGAAGAGGCAAGATTTCATCCGCGTATTCCGGGTTAAAATTTCTTAGAACTTTTCTGCCGACTATCCGACCCCGAATATCACCGCTGTGTCAATATCGATTTCCGATATTTTGTCATCAGAGCAAACATGTATGCATTCAGTTGGGTATAAAGATTTCTATGAATCGACTTACGTATATTATTCTTGTATTCAATACTGAAAATCGGGTGATTAGCAACCATGGCACAGATTCGGCGATCATAGACTGTCACTTGTGGAGATTGGTTGTCATTATGGGATTCTGTCGATACTTGATCACTTGATACACAAGGTATAGCATCATCATCATCATCATTAACACGTTTAATATCAAGTTCGATCATAACGCCAAGTTTTTGCTGTGTTGTACGGTGATCTAAGAAAAACATAACAGTTTTCGGTTCATATACTTGTTTCAATAATATATCTTTTCCTTGTAATTGTGACCTTGACTTATGCATTCAGCGAATCTCGTCAAAATCTAGAAAGCATGTGTTATTATTATAATCGAATGTAAAAAGTAGTTTGAAAAAAAAATCCTACCAATGATATTATCACATTGAATTAAAAGAATTTGTTTTCTTTGTGATAAAAGATTCGTTATTTTGTATGAATATGAAGTAGTTAAAGCATCAATATAATGGGAAATTTTTTCTCTTGCAACTGGGTCATGTGTAGACTCGACTGTTAATTTGAGTATAAAACTTCGTTGATCAATTAATGGATTAGTTCTTTTAAATTTCAAATGAATACCCTGATATGAAATATTAGATTTTGCTAGAAGATTATCTACAACTGGAAACAAAATCTTAGACGAACACATGAACAAATAACTTACTGTTTTTCTCATTAAATCGAACTGTACATTGATTAAAATATCCATTTTCCTTTGAATCAAATATTTTCTGCAAAGCTAGACTTTGTTGTTTTAAGAATTCGACTATTTCCTCAATTTTGATACGACGCCTAAGAGATTTCGATGAGAAACTAATATCGAGTAGACAATTTGCATCGAATACTGACGATACACATGCTGATCGAGTGATATTATCTCGGCTACGAGCTTTTTTAGCATTATCATTTCGAGATTCTCCTCCTGAATGAATTCGTTTTCTTCGCTGACAAAATTCTTGAATAGGTTTTGGTTGTACTGATGATGATGATGATGTCATGTCTAGAGTTTTTGAAACAACAGGAGGTGTCGTCGAAGTCTACATCAACAAGTTCGTTTTCAACATCATACAATAGAAAATATTACCTGAAATAAATCATGAAACAATTTTTCATTAAGTAGAATAAGACGAACAAGTAATACTGGATTTACATTTTGACAGCTCGATTGCTCAATGATACGTCGATTATGCTCATAAGTAAAATCATGCGGAAAATGACAATCTTTTGTTTTATACTAATCAAAACGACGAGATAAATGAAGTCGATTGCATTCTGCTGCTTTGAAATTACATTTCCCAATAAGAAAATCTTTACATATATTTATCTAAGCTATATGAGAAATCAAAACAAAAATGCTAAAGTAAAATGAGCTCACTAAGAGTTCAATTTGAACAAGAAATGTGTCTTCTTGATTATATCTAAATTGAGCGAGAGATAAACCAACTGATTGAACAACACGACGTATCTCTTCAACTGAACAAGTTTTCCCGTTATTTCTGATATCAGTACTCAAATCATTGTCGCTGAGTTCTTTTATATTTTGTTGGAGAAATATTGAAATAATGTCATTTAAATGATTAACTGTCATTGCTGATATAATATCTACGATAATATATATTAAGGTAAAACAAACATCAAACATATGAAAGCAATCATGTACTAATATAAGCAAGACTTACGTGCTGATTGTGCAAGAAAGAACTGACAAGAAAATTCAGCATAAGGCTTTCATAATGAATATGATTCATCGTTTTCATTCTGTAAAAAAAATATTTTCTATGGTATTCAACATGTGAAACTCAATAATAAAACTTAATAATACATTTTCTTCTTCCGGTAAGGGGGGGGGGGGCTTAACAGAACAGTCCTCTGCTAGTCCATTATTTTCAATGGTTTTGAAATATAAAATATCTATATTGTTAAATTTGATCGATTTATCAAAACATGCAGAAAATAAGAAATAATCGACTAAGATGTCTATTCAATTAGTCTTTTTTGTTTCTTACTTAAAAATAATCAGAAATGAATCTTGCAAGCAGGTACTTCTATATTACTCAATGTATTGAAATTTAACTAGAGTTAGCTGAATGATTCGGTTCAATGAAAATTTTCTTGTATTTATTAGCAAAAATCATCGCCATTCAGTTTCTCTTATAAGTCAACGTTGCTTTTATTTTAGCTCATTTTTTTAGACTAGACTTTTTTCAACACATTGTATATCAATTCAGAAGAATTGATAATTTCAAATATTTCACAAATTCTATTTGTTTTTTTTGAAACGCAACAGCCAGTCATAGAAATCTGATTTTTGTAAGCGAAGCAATCATGTGGGTGTGGCTGAGTGTGAGTGTTGGTGTCTTCCTTTCACCCACATACACATATACGTCCTTCTGTAAGTATTTGGCAAAAACGTAATTGAAATATAATTTATCAATTCGAGTATACTGTGTAGACATTTCTATAAATAACTTTTCAATCACAAAGATTAAGTGAACTTTATTTTTTCATAGAAGCATTTGAAATGCATTAATAGATGTCATTCTTTTTTTTCCCTTGAACTTTACTCAAATTCTTGTTTTGGAAAAAAAATAACCCTGAGGAAAATGGCTTTGGTATGTTGTACATAAAAACTTAACTAAAGTCGATACATGTATTGCTTTTATTAATTTTATGGACCATCAAATATCTTTTAAGATAATCCAAATAAATGAAAATGAAAGTAAAGCTCGTAGGGTCCGAGTCCGAAAATGTTCAACCTGATGTCCTCTAGTCATATGAGGAATGGGTACGATGCGATTATAACCGAGTAGAAAACACCGAAAAAAAGTAACTTGTGCTTTAAGGACAAGTATTCGATTTCTGTGAGAAACTTCCATTAACAGTATCAAGGTACGGTTTGATCGAGGCCGGCTCCTGTATCGGAATTGTTGGACCTCATAGGCTCTAACTGAAACAGAATAAAGGATATTATGTTAGTAGAAAAAAAGCCTGGGTATTTGTGCATAAAAATAGCTTTCCAATTGCGGGAAAAATGGCTCCGTACCTTTTTTGAATTTCAACTGTTTCATTTGGCGACCCTCCATGCAGGGTTCAAGTGTGATCTTCAGATTGTGGATAGTAAGATGGCATGTTTGAAAACTTTTCGTAAGGATACTTTACAATATTGATGAATCTTTGAATTTTTCTCGATAGTCACGAATAGTTTTCAATTACAGGAGAGATTTATTCTCGCGTCAAAATTCGACTTTCGAAAAACTGATTGAAACTTCAACAAAAAACATATCATTTTCGTGTTGTCACCTATTTCATCTGTTCGCTTCGATCCATTGTACACCTGAAGGTGTGAACTGATTCTTCTAGATAATGCGTCTGTCCAGATTATATTGATATGTATGATGTACTATTCAAATTTGAGTGTACAAATTCATATAAATTCAATAAATCTAAAAACCAACTACTGCTAAAATAGTTTGTGTGTTTGAATAATGGAATTATTTTAAGGATAGTATGTCACTTGCACACATGTGCTACTTGTGAGCAATAGTCATGAATTCAAGATTCGAGTGACAGCAAACATTAGACTCGTAAAACTGTGTAAACAAAATCCAACACTGTTTCACCTTAAATGACAATTTTCTAAATAATTCGATGTATTGTCAAGATAATCATCAAGTTTCAAACGTAATTTCAATGGAATACTTTCGTATTGAAGCCACAAATTAGAAAAATTAACATAACTGGTTGTAATATATAGATTTTCTTTAAAATAAGTTGACTAATATCGATGAATTTTTTCAATAGTACATGCAAAATAGTTATGACATTCGAGCATTAAATAAAGTGGTTCTGATAATTCAGAACGATCAATTTTACTTATATCTTTATCTGATAATATAAAACATATTGGTTAACGTGATTGCTATAGTTCACATTTGATTTCTTTATCATCTAATGATGTAGACATTTGAAAAAAAAGCGTAGTTTGTAAATAATAATTTAACAAATGATAATGTTTTGTTAACAAACGGAATAAAGCAATAAAATGAAAAAACAAAAAGATTAATTAAATTGTAAAAAGTGCATAAAATCTTTCCTATTTTCATTCGTTGATCGTGTTGGTCGACCTAAATTTTTTCTGTGACCAGTTTTAATTCGAAGTTCAAGTAAAATTGGGCCATCATTGTTAATTGCACGAATTTTTTCCATTGCTTCATTTATTTCAATTTGATTGGTTGCTATCATTACATATTTATAACCACAACCCTGAGCTATGTGACTAAATGAAAATTTATCATGATTACTCGCAACAGTTGGTTGACCACCAACACTATCATGTGCACCATTATTAAATACAATATGTTTAAAATTTGATGGTGCAACTGCAGCAATATTTGCTAATATGCCCATATGCATTAGAACAGCACCATCACCATCCAAACAATAAACCTTCAAATATTTATTTCAACTTTTAAATTAAAAAAGACAATAAATTAACTCACAGTTCGATCTGGTTTTTGAATCGCAATACCTAATGCAATCGCTGATGCATGACCCATTCCTCCAACAGTTAAAAAATCTCGTTCATGTCCATCACCGCGTTTCATTCGAAGTTCAAATAATTCTCTACTAAGCATTCCAGTTGTACCAACAACAACATCTTGATGTTGAAAATGATTAACAACACATTCTAATGCTTCTTCACGTGTTAAACTTAATCTAAAAATAATAAAAATCCTATCATTCGCCTATGTTCATTCAACAGACTTAAACGGAATTTTACCCGGCTTCTACATCTATATTCATTTTAGGTAATGCATATGTTAAAAATGTTTGTTGTTTAACAAGTAATGCATATGGACCTTTTGTTGTTTCCATATAACGTTTAGCTGTTTCAAGTGCTTGACCAGCACCATCATGACAATTCGGTAACGATTGAAAAGGAATACCAAGTGCAGCTAAGAGGAAAAATATTATACTTGAAGTTTTAATAAATAATATTTGCTCACTTAGAATATCAGGTGTTGCAGGTCCCTGAACACGATGTTGTGGTTCATCTGGTTTACCTGGTTCACCACGCCAACCAATTAATAATAACATAGGTAAACTATAAACACCTGGTGTTGCAAGAGACATAATAGGATTAACAATATTGCCCAAACCAGAATTCTAAAAATAAATTTATATTTCTTTGAATTGAAAAGTTTATATTTACTTGTAAATAGACTAATGAAGGTTGGCCTGTTGCCATATATGAACCACAAGCAAGACCAACAGCAGAACCCTCGTTGGCAGTAATAATATGATAGTTAGGTGAAACATTTTTTGTCACGTAAGCACAGAAGTCTTAATCAAATCAATATAATTTTATTGATCTCAAAATTTATATATATATACCTTTGAGTAAAGAATCCGGTACACCACAAAAAAAATTAATACCACAGATTGTTTTTACTTGTTGATAGAATTCAGCTGGATCAAGAAAATCACGAGTTAATTCAGGCATATCTTGTGCTTCTTCATTTCGTTTTTGTTGTTCTTTTGCTTGCTATTAAATAAATGATGATAGTTCTATGAATGCATTACAGAGCTTCGAATGGAATGGGATCGGATGAAGTTCTCGTCCTATGGGATTTCCTTCTTGTTTTTCTCTGATGAGATATGTACTCTAGGTACTTTATAGATACGATAGGGAATAAATCGCACCTAGTATGCTTTAGTCGTTGATCTCTTTTATAAAAAGCAAGTTTTGTTCCTTTAGTGCTTGATGTCTTTTTTTCATCTAAAACTTAAATATTTTTTATGGAAGTTTTTATGTCTCAAAGTCATTTAAAATTTCGAATACTCTTCCGTCATAATTGTTGATAATTTGCATAAGACGTCATCATCTTGAAGAATCTTTACTTTCTCCACTTCAAAATAATTTGCAAAGCAATTTAGAGAATTACAAGGAATATATACTTAGGGCACATTGATTCATAGCAAATAAAATTGTGCAAAGTGTTTTGTTTCCACTATTGGAATTCATGAAAAAAACGGAGTCACAGAAAAAACACTTTTCAGCGGTATGAGTAACATGAGAAAAAATCTCGTTTCTTTCATAGAAAATAGAAAGATTTTTATAAACAAATCGTTCCGACTGTAAAAGAGAAGCTTGTGTTCTATCGTTTTATAAAAAAAATAGCACTGTTTTCTCCAGTGAAATGTTGCAAAAAGCTGTTTTCAATAAAATGAGCATGCATATTTTAGCACAGTTCAGATAACGATGAAATTTTCACACGACTTTCTTCCACATCTGATGCGACTACTGTGAATGCACTAAAATGCGCAAATGCTTCCTGACTGAGATATGAGTTTTTCAAAAAACCTTTGTTTTTCCGGGTTTTCCACGATTTCCTCAGCTCAATGGGAGTTTTAGACAAAAGTAACGATAGATTCAGAATTAGCGCAAGAGAACTACATCGAACCATATTTAATCATCTATTTTTTCATATAAAATATTTTTTCACAAAAAATCAGGGTGAGGATCCTCTTCAAGGGCTTTTCATTAAAACAATAATTTTTTATACTCACTTTCTTTTTATCAATAATTGGTTTCAGACATGTAGAAACTGATATTCCTGTGAAAAAAGGTGAAGTCAACACGAAATAAGTCATGCTCATGTGCTTTATAGAAATTGCTTACTGTACGACAATCCAAAACGAATAGCGGAGGTATTTTAATTCCCAATGAAAAGTTTAAAGAAACTTTCTCTTCATCTGGACTATTATATCATTCTTCAATTAATATCATAACAATAAAACTTCAACAAGACCTGTTTGCTCATCATGCGTGAACGATTATATTAATCGATACAGTGTTCAATATACATTCTCTTCTTAATTTTCTCTTTGTTTTTCTTTTCTCGTAGCTATTAATGTCTAATCGTCTACACATACGGATAAAGATTATCATTAATAACGATACGAACTTGTTCTGTATTTTCAGATGTTGTTTCAATAGCAGAACTGTCAGATTGTGTATCGTCTTCAACTTGTTCTTGACCTTCACGAAACCATTTAGACCACTTTTCAATTACCTTAAGAGAAGGTGTTTTATCACCACAAACAGTACATAGTTCGTCGTGAATATCTTTGACTTGAACATTCAGTGTAGTACGCACTTTAACGTAGAAGCGGAAATTTTCTTTATTCATCTAAAACAGAGATGAATATTATACAGATTTAATCGAACTTTATTTCTTTAACTTTCTTCGGAGCACTAGAATAAGCTACACACACACAAAACAAGCAAGGTATGCCTCTTTATATACATATATGTAGATGCTTAAGCATTAACTTTTAGTCCCCACAATGGTTCCAGAAGAATCGCTGGTAAAATAACTTTATAAATAGAGTACTAGTCTGCCTAATATGTCAATGATGTGGTCTGATTTCACCAAGCATCCATCTCTTTGTGTAGAGCCGTTTGGTTGGTTTAATGATCGTGTGGTGAAGGTGAAGAATTAAGTGACGTACTGAATTTTAATTTTTTTTCTTTGATCATATTATTGAATGCGCAAGAGCAACATATATTCCAAGTCATTGGACTAATAGAAAAAAAGAGAGAGTGAACCAATAAAAATTCATATTCAAAGCATACCTATGTTTTTGACCAGTCTTGATTAATAAACATCTACTTGTTTTGAACCATTTAATAATCTCTGAAGACAATCTATACAATTGATTGTGACTGAATTTTCTAATGATCATTTTATGAGCATTGTCAGTATAGAACTACATGAGTTCAAATTTGATGTAAATTTTTTTATTGCTGCCAACATTAGTTTCAAAGTTAGAATTTACTTATGTTTGTTTTTGAAAGTTAAAATTCTCTTTCTGATCCAAACAATGTGAATAGCTGACTGATCAGCTAATGGATAATGGCGTTATCTTAAATATCTTCAGACATAATTTACAATTCAGAAAAAAAGGCTTGTTCTCTAGCATTCTGACATGACACAATTAGAATGCATCTTTTGGAACTAGAAAAAAAAACCAATGGCACTTGGAGATCTCATTATTACACAATTCCATCTAGGATGAATTTTATTTTATACTTAAACTATTTTGGACTTCTTTTTTCAAAATTGGTGGTATAGGTACCCCTTTGAATCACAATTTATCGAGGTGTTATACTTTGATTCTATAGAAAATTTTCAAATACTTTTATTTTCAATTTCAACTTCTAAACAATGATCAATACGCGAAATTCTACAAATTCACGTAGTTCTTGAGCGAATAATTATATAGAATTTTCCGTCTTTCTTTGCAAAATTTTGCCGATCATATGTTTGGGAAAAAATGTTCGCTCTTCACCAAATTATTCTATACAGAAGAAATTCTGCCCAAGAAAATAACATTTTGTGTCAATACTGTTTTGTATGATATTTTACAATTTCGTCAACATCATTACAAATATATAAATAACTTCATAATCAAATGGAATATAACTATTATTAAGAAAAGAAGAAGAGAGTTCTGTAATAAGATGTTAAATAAAAGTTAAATAAAAAAAAACATGGTTGATTCAACTAGAATTTATTTATTTTATATAAAGTAATCAACATATATTCATTAGCATAAAGTTTATAAGACAAAATAAACGAGAAGAAATGCTAACTAAAGAATTACACTACGAGATAGTTATATAGTGTCTAGAAACAGAGTCTATTGTTGAATGCTGTTCTTTAATGACTTATTGTATCCATACTGTCCGAAGTACTTTCTTCTAAATTATGAACCGTTCATTGTAATCTTATTCTTGTGTTTTTGTTGCCGCAATAAGATATCTTCAATAACCTCGAGCGACGTATTGTTCACGTAACATGGGATTAGACATCCGAAGCGCGTATTTTGTATCTAAACGAGAGTAAAAATACGATGAGGAAGATCATAAAAAATAAAATATTCTCCATTCAAAGAAAATAGAATATTTCTCAAAATCAATTAGCAATCGAAGTTTAGAACAGTAGCAGCAAAGATAATAATATTTTTCACTATTGAAAACGGTAAACTACGAGGCATAGGTTTATGTAAAAGAGTTTCTGCAACTGATGCTTTTTCAAACAGAGCATAATGCATAGAGTTTTTATGTTGTGCTCAACTGAAAAAATATCGGCATCAGTCATTGAGTAATTGACATTTCAATCAAATATTCTTTGAAGCTCAACATCGTACTTTTTTAACATATATATATATTTATTGTGCCGTTATTTTAGTCATACTCCTTCATATGAACATTATCGAATTCGATTCAGTCTATCAGACAATGTCTAGTTTGTTGTATTAGTCTATGAGAGAATACACTGTTTCTGCGAAAAACCAACCTTAATCCAAGCATGATTCGGTGAAGTAATCATGAAGTGAGCTTTTAAACCTTGTTGAGAAGCTAGCGCTTCGCAAGAAGTTAGGAGATGAATAACAAATCTACACAAATACATAAGGACATAATCGCTTGTGGATTTTTCTCTAGCTACAATTAAGCTAGTCATATCGCCCTATTGTTGTAGATTATATATAATACGAATTCCTGAGAAGTAACTATATTCTGTGTTTTCTTTATTTTTTTTTATGAAGAACAACCATGTAGTGAAGAGCTGCATAATTTGTGGGAGAGCAAATGCTTAGAAGACTATTCTACAGGTTTTTATGTCTTTCTTTTTAACCGTTCTATATATAATTTTCATTGCGACGCATGTTTTATGGTTTTGAGTCTTTTATTAATGTATTTATCGCAGCCCATTTTAACGGAGACGTATACTTAAGATGGAGATATAATGTTATGCATTATTGGCACTTTTTAGTTTTTGAGGCATTAAATGACAGTATCAGATCATCTGAGAACTTCTCAATTTTTTTTCGTGCTATTGCTGTTCTCTCTTCAAGCTCACTGATGTTCTCTGAGAAATTTTTTTCGAATGATCCGGTTAGAATGAGCGCCAAATCATCAGCAAACAAGTGAATTGTTATGTTGTTGAAGCACGATGTTAAAAAATGGACGTACAATCGAAAGAATGTTGCAGGAATTACTAAATCTTGGGGAGCTCATTTCTCTATTTCAACTACTTTAAATTTCATACCACCAAAATGTATGCAGAAAGTTCTATCCTTTGAGCAATTAAAAGTTTATTTCAGAATTTGTAAAGGTATATTTAAATCATGTAGATTTCTAATGAGATAGAAAATCGACATACTATCGAATGTTAATAGGAAGTCAATAAGTAATGCCAGGACAGGTCTATTATTGGCAGCTATTATAAATCTCAGTTCTTCAATAACTGCAACGATTCTCGTTTGTAGTCTCTTCTATCGGAAGAGAAACCTGATTGTTCATCTACCTATATGTTGTTATTTATACACCATAAACGAATATGGTTTTGAATAACTCTTTCCAAGCATTTCCGCAAATTTCGAAGTAATGATATTAGACGTAGGGTTGGGGAAGGCATATATCTATGCTTTGGAAATACATATAACTTTAGAATGCTTTACAATAGAAAATAATTTACCTGTCAATAAACATCGATTGAACGGTATGGTTATTATATTAATGTGTACTACATGTAGCTTTTTTAACAAGAATGCTAAAATATCGATAATATTCGTTGATTTTTTCGGGAAAGTGTTCATACATTTCTTAGAAGCTTAATCAAAAAAATATGTTTTTAAGCGGCATATTTAGGAGGTGAAAAATTTGTTCGNTTATTATTATATTAGTTGAAGTATGATCAAATAGCATAGAAAAATAGAGCATTCTTTTCTCTATCAGACTATATACAAAGAAAGTCTCTTAAAGCTTTTTATAAGGAATAAAAGTACTACTGCCACCACTTTTGGATTGCCCTAAGTAGAATTCCCAATTTTTTGTACTGTGAGAAGATGAGAGCTGAACTTTGTAGCATATAATTCATCAAATCTTTTATGAAAACTAGGTGTGGGAAGTTATTATTACTAATCAGTTACTTTTTCCTGGTAACTTCTTAAAAAGACGAATTATCACTTCCATTCGGCCGAAAATCCTCAATAAATCACTTAGTAGAGTTCTGAGTTACCTGCTCACGGACAAAGTGAATCAATGATAGCAATCGATTAGAAATGATAATGCGTCTTTTTGGTAAGAAATCAGAACAAAGCAACTGCCCAGCTCGAACAATACGATACATATACGTGTCGCATCAGTAACTTGCCGTGAACAAATTACATTCGACACGGTTTACGTAACCTGAACCATACTAAGATTTACATCTTCATTGCAGCATGCGTCAATGTGGAATAATAAAAAATGTAAAGCGTACATAGCACATCTACGGCGATTCTGTTCAACATTGTGTGAGAATTTTGGTTGTGTACACATGCAGAATATTGATTGAACATTTTTGCAAATTTCATGAACGGATAATATTAACGAGGTTAATTTTATTGTCGAACGTTTCAGCGTTTACCTTAATGGAGCCTGCGTATATCCGCGGATGATGTGAACGAAGTTACTCTGGTGAAGTTTAGATTATAAAACAATGACACAGATGCATATATTGAACTGTAACCCGATCAGCAAAAACACTAACGTAGTATTTAACATGTTCATCCCTCAAGAATCTTGGTAATTATCCTTCAAATAATATTTGTCATCACAACAAGAAATTTTATTTAAATAAAATGAGTATATGTATTTTATGTAACAACAATGAATAAATAGCGAATATTCCCTAAACTGAAATGTTAGAGTCTTGAACGGAAAATTCACTTCTCTATGTCTGCAGCATTTGATACAAGTGACCATAATTACGATACTATGGACCACAACTATGTTACAAGCAACCATACTCATGATATAAATAGGCAAATATTTGGTTATTCACACACTGTGTATGACTATTTGCACATTAAGTTTGGTCAGAACTAAGATTCTTTGTAGCATTGCTTTGATCACTTGAACCATTTTCGTAGTAGTTTGGATTATATTTTTAGTCGCTCGATCTTAACTCTTTAGTTATGAGAAAATAGTTGGGATAAGTAAACAAAAATATGCCAAGAGTGGTAAAAAATTTCGTCTAGCTCTGAAAACTATAACATATCAGCAAGTGAACGTCCGTTTCTAGACAATCAGCTCAGTCTAGAGTAAAGCGAATCGAATCTCAATACCAATAGTTTGTAAATCTATAATTGTAAAATATATTGACCAAATATCTAGTTATTTTTATGATTTTTTTATGCCGAGACACCTATGAAATCGTTGAATAATATGTCGAATAGCTGTCATAAAATCATCTTTGTATTGCTTTGATGGTAATATAAATACTATAAATGTAATCATGGATAGAGTAAAAGAAATAAAATAACCAAAGAGATATAACCATGGGTTTCTTGGTGATTTCATACATCCACTGATAAATGATATGACGAGACGAGGTAAAGCCAATAATATTAATGCACATGATGCGAATAGATGACGCTTATGTTGATTAAAGTGTTGTCGTAGATGTATGCTGAACGGTATTGCAGTTTGAGTTTGCCAACGAGAGCGGGCTATCTGCTTAATTGTTAGTATAGTAGAAATTATATTCACCGAGAAAGGAACAAGAAAATGAAAAAGCGTAATGAACATATTGAAGGTGTTTAATGCAGAAGAATACTGAGCTAAACACCAAGTTCGTTTTTCATCAACGTCAATATCATCAATTAAACGACGATGAATAGGATCTTGAATATGAGTAAGAATTGTTATTAGAAATATGCATGGAAATATCCATTTAGCTACTTTCTTGCTTTTAAGTTGATTGAAACTAACACCTTGGATAACGGTAAATACTCGTTCGAGTGCAATACACGCATAAAACCAATCATTTGATGCTACAAGAACTTTGAGAGTCATATCTAATAATATACAATTCCATGTAAGAAATAATCGGTTGGTGATAATTGAAATTTGTGATAAAAGTAATTGCCAAAATTTGATCATCAATACAATGGTTAAACACAAGGAATTCCATGATGAAACAAGAAGATAGATACTACAACCGTTTTTTCTTATTATTTTCCTTTGAAATGTTATGATAGATAACATTCCACTGACTAGTCCTAAAATAAACATAACTACTACAATGGCAATACTTATTTTAATAACGAATGGCTGTCGATAAATTGAAACATTTGGTTTAATATTATAACCGAGAATATAATCAAGGGATAATGCAAAACCTCTTGTAGAAAACTGACACTTTGTACCATAATAACATGCTGGACACACACAAATCGATAAAAGAGGACATTTAACAGTATCTTGAAAGCATAGACCATCATTTTCACAAATATTTTCTCCTTGACAATCATGAGATATGGTGTGATTGAATGTAAAACAATTGGAAAATCGATTAGCATCACATATACACATGTATATTTCATCATAGAAACACTTCACTTGTTCTTTTTGTTGACATAAATGAGGATAATATTTAACACGACGAAGCAAAGAATAATTTGAAAACGTATTATTCATTAATTCGTATATAGATGAACATCGGTAATTCGATAAAATTTTTGTTTGAATATATTCCGATTCGATAAATCTTTCCCTTAATACAATCAAATAATAGGTTCGATTAGCTAATTCAATAAAAACAGCATGAAATGGATCGATCGTAAAAGTGTTAATTACATTTTGTGCAAATTTTATCTTGTTTAATACTGTACTACGCTGATGACGACCATTTTCAGATAAAGTAATAAAATGTATCCAAATAATTGGCATCAGATCAATATTTTCATCATTAAAGGCAATATCAATTCGATTTTTGACATTCTCACATCTTGTCCCGAAGAAATCTTCCGTACATAAACATGTAAAGTTATTCAAACCCGTACGATCATCATGAGGTATGCAGATTCCATTATTTTGACAGGATTTATTGGGGATTTGACAAATTGAATTTTTTAAATAACACATTGAACCAAACTTGTGGAGTGGACAAACACAAATCGACGATGTAAAACAATATGAATCCAATGAACAAGAACAATTGTGTTGAATATTACATTGTGAACCCGAATATCCTTCATTACATTGACAAAAATATGAGAAGTTTTTGTTCATGTATTCTGCACATCGGCCATGTTTACCACAAAATAAAGAACATGATTTCGAAATTATTTTTGAACTTGGAATAAATAGTTGCGCAGCAATTCGATTAACGGGCAGAAATTGAAATGGAATGGATAGATGCCAACTTCCCAAATAGTTTAATGTCATTTTCTCGAATAAGTCAATATGTATCGAATAATTAGTAGAAGAATTTTTTGGTTGATTTGGATAAAGTAAGTAAATATTATATTTTGTTTCACAATCACGTTTTGGTACGAACGTGATTTGTTCATGATATGATACGCTTTCACTTTGTTCATCAATAAGCATGAGAACCACTTGAAAAGCAGCCATAATGTAAGCATCAGTACGATACACTAACTGAAGTGTTAAACTTATTCGTTGGTTTTGCCATTGACATCGATCACCGAAATAACTTGGTGGACACAAACATTTCTTTGTATTCTGATCATTAAAATGAATTGAAATTCCTCGATTACAATACCACACTGATTTATAGTTTGGTTGTAAATTGACCAATGGTTCGTTTTTAATTATGAAACTATTTCGCTTAGATACCATAGTTACTTTTGGTGGAAAATATCCCAGTTGAGACAATTTAAAAGTCCATTCTGTGATTTCAAGTGTGTGGAAAGGTTCTCTTGTAAAAGGACAAATATGTTTTTCGATTTGTGACAACCAGTATTTCGCTACTGTTGGAAAGAAAAGCGAGCTGGGTCCGGAAAAAAATAGTACATGACTCCCATACATTTGATCAGGTGTGGGACATATATGGCGCGTGTGTATACATGAATCGATGCTTGACAAACTTGTCTTGTTGTTGTTAATCATAGTATTAAAAGACGTTGCATATTCTGTGTAAAGAATATCACAACTTAAATATTTTTCCATTAAAGCCATTAATGAAAAACAAATTTTGTCGGACAATAGCGTGTTACGTACTTCATCATCATACGATTCGCATTTTATAATGGGACAATTTAATTCATCAACGCCATCAGCACAATCTTTAACATGATCACATTGAGTATAAATATTATTGCATGGCCAATACTCACAATTTGTTTCATCGGTATCATTAGATTCTGATAATAATTGATCATTTTTGCCATTACATAACAAACCGAATGGAACAGCTCCTTTTAACATATTACGTTGATTTTCAGTCAATTCATCTTCACCACTTTTACAATCTTTGTTTCCATTCTGCAATAATATTGGTGATAAACATTTGTTTGGCTCCGATTCACAAATAAATCGTCGCGAATCGTTCAGATGACACGAATCAAACGCTTCATCTTCACCAAAATAGCAATCAGAAATGCCGTCAAGCAGACGATGTTTTGAAATGCACTTTAATGAAAGTGGACAATGAAACAGTGATGGATGTGGACATGATTGCTCTACACCCGTTGTAGAGCAACGGAAAAATAGATTTTCTATAGCGCCAGACAGATCGCTGTTGCCAATAAATGATGTGCTCAGTAATTTCGAAGAAGGACAGCAAACTAGTCCATTATCTAATCCTATTTCTATGACACAATTGGTGGATGCCGGACAGTCTTGAACATGGAAGCAAATAAAATCAGGATATTTTAGGGTGATTAAATCATTCACTAATCGATAAGGTAAGTAAACAAAGTGGAATTTCCAGAAAGTGTTGAATAATTTAGCCTTAAAAATCCATTTCGATAAACATTTTTTGCTTGTAGCTACACATGATATTATACTAAACATTGACTCTGTATTATTTAATATTGGCTGTAGATACAGCATACTCGATGCCAATGTTGACTGGAATATTTTTTCTGAAATGTTATATAGAATTGGACCCTCAACTAGCATTCGATATTTATGTTCTAACCACTGTCGAAAGTTGGCGCAAGAAAATACAGTTTGTATAATATCAGCAAGATAATATTGACCATCCCCACATGGAAAAGAGCGTTGATATGGTCCAGTACGTTCTTCGCATCGAAATGTTGGGATCCTAAAGCATTGACTATTGAAACGATAAATGCTTTCTTCATGCAAATGTATCTCATCAGTACCGTCAAGGCAATCAGCAGTGTTAGGTCCATCTCGTACAAATGCCAATGGAATACACTGTCCACCAAAATGACATCGATATGTATCATTAGAACACTCATTTGTTTCCAATATTTGACAACCTTCTTCGTCCTTTCCATTAATACAATCAAATTTTCCATCACAAATGTGACGCCAGTCAAGACACGTTATTGGTGCATTACTGATACAATTATTTAGAAAAGAGTAACATGTAACATTGAGATATTCCAGTTGCATCAAATGAGAAGAGCGAGTGGAAAATTCTAGTCGAACAATATCACTAAATGATAATCTGAGTATATTGTCGAATCTGTACTGACATTTTGAACCAAACCAAGGCGAAGAACAATTGTAAAAACTCTCTGTTGAATCTGCACCTGTCATTTCATATTTTTCAGCAACATCAATTGGTGCTGACCAGTCAAGTAATTGTGCACTTGTTATACCTTGTTTATACAATTCATGAAAACTAATGATATTGTTTACATTATTGTGTGAAATATGTGAGACGTTATTTGGTGCTTCATTCTGACCGAGTCTTCGACAGTATGGAATGATCTGATTCATTGTTCTATGATGAGAATCAACATTGTTGTCGTAATCTACTAAATGAGCGTAAAGACAGTCAAAGACTGATTTGAATATCGGTGGACCATTTGTATAATAAAGAAGATATTGAGTATCAAGTGCATTCAATGACAAGAAAAATATAAGTATTTGTAGATTGTTCATAATTGATTAGGTTTGAACTAATTTGTAAACTTGTTCTTCTTAACACTCTCTGATGAAAAAGTGAATGTTATATGTAACAAGGATACGACAAATTTTTATATCGTGCTGTGTTTGCAGAAAGCCACGGAAGCTGCTGATAAAATTATATTGAAAACTGATATTCATAAAAATCAACAAATTTACTAACAGCACACGCACTTGAAGAGGATTCCGGGCAAATAAATGTATTTTCGTATTTTCTGGTTTGTGAGGCAGAAGAAACGGATTTTTTTTTTATCAGTGAACAATCATTATTTGAAACTACTAGATTCTTCAATTTTGACGAAAAATGAATTGTAATCTTATATTCGCATCGTGATGTAAGACATGCAGAGAAATCTCATTTTTTTAAAAATAATTTACATTGTAAACATTATGTTTCTTTATTTATATATTATAACGACCGATAAAGTTGGCTTTGCTCGTTATATTTGTGTGCAAATAATATTATTTTCATATCAGAAAGCTGTTACGGCAATCCTATTGGAATGAAAGTGTAGAACACAATGTTTCCGTGCCACTTTTCTCATAAAACTTGTTTTTTTTCTTCTCTCTACTAATGCAAATGTTTTCATCATTACTTACTAATAATACAGAAATTTAACAAGAAAATCCTTCACATATTCGCAAATAAGACACCAGTTTTACATGACTTTCGATAGTCTCTTGAAGCAAGTCGACCATTAATAGTGAATGAATTAGACAGTAATTAGTCAAGAAAAATATTTTCCAGGGCCTCTGGACGAAGAAGTGTAAATTTCTACCCTATATACTTCAGCACTTCATTCGAATCATGCTTCCGAAAATAAGTTATGCTATAATCTGTGACATTGCGGCGATACCAAAGTCGACGAAGTAACTATGAGAAAAGAAACTCATTATAATACTTTCGCGAATATTTTATGTAGTATTCGGAGAGAATGACGAGACACTTTTGAGTATTCATGACCTGAAAACTTCGAGTAGAACGGCTAGAGTTTGCTCAGAAAACAATAACAATATCTCCATATTAGGAGATAATCACTTTATTGAGATTTCTTTCTCACTGTTCACGATACTTCTGGATATAAAAACTTTTGCTTCGGTTGCTTCTAATTAAAAATGCGATTCGACCAATTCATTTTGGATCTCATCTGATGATCATGTACCTTTCATAATACATTTTCTTGACAACGGTTGTTTTATCATTTTTTAGCTATTTATTTTTTTTATCGTTTTTTCTAACAGGTGGCAAGAAACTATCTATTGTTTGACACTACTGCACTTACTTATCGACTGAAAAAAATGAACCTGCAGCATAGTGTTGCACGACGAGTATTATATACGAAAGCGATCTATATCGTCAAACTTATGTTGAAAAAATATGTCTGTTCTTAGCAACATTACTTTCAAAGGATTTCCAGCATGAGTAAATAGTTTGTTATTTAGTTTTCTTTTTCAATTCAGACAATCGTGTCCAAGTTTCTTGCTCTGGGCATAAAACTTCTTTACAACAGCCAGAAAAAAAAACTCATTGCTAATCATTTCTAATGAATAAATTGTTGCTTACTTAGCCGATTAATGTAATCAATCAGTTAGAATCAAGTTTAATATGGGATTCTAGAATTTAAATGTTCATTTTCATGTTCTATTGACACGTGAAANGAGCTAGTTTACAGATACCATTAGCTCAAAAAGCTTAAACAAATTTCAATTTTAAGTTGCCGAGCTCGAAAAACAAAATCAGTAACTAACAAAAAAAACTTGTAAGTTTTTGCCATAAAAGTCCTATTAGAAGGCCACCCTTAATAGAAGGCCACCCTGAAAAGTCCGATGTGAATTTCCATAATAGAAGGCCATGGCCTTTTATTCTGGGGGGGAGTTTAATATTAAATATCAGACGGTCTACAATCGTTTTCTGTTAGAAAACCCATTTCGCTATGTTTTCGTTCAAAGAAAATAGGTTTCGGAGCGTTGAATCGAGAGTTTCGTTAAATATCGAAAACGTTGAAGAACTCAGTGAAGACTGATGCAAAATAATCCGTGGAAGAGCTTCGTGCTGTCGAATGACAAAAATTTTTTCGCGTAATTTACGATGTATAATAATAGTAATAACAATAATTGTGGATTCATGTGTAGATTATCTTATACACTAAGCTTCAGTTTTATGTTAAAAAGAATAAAAAATTATACAGGCACTTCATAAGAAAGCAAATCAAAGCTTTGCAAGCAACGTTTTTATCCTCAAAGGCTTCCATCAAAAACTGGTGTCATTCATCAATTACATTTTTTGTATTTAAAGTATCGGAATGAAATCATGACTCCGATCTACATGCTGGGTCATGTATATATAGATGAATTCGCAGACCTTTTCTAATGTATTTTAGATGAGATACAAAGCTTTATAATATCAAAAATAAATCAATGACTTTTGCAAGAAAACTGAGCTTTCAATACTTAGAATGATGTAAAATTGTTTATTTGACTCATGAGAAATAGGTTTTAAGATTTAAACTGACTAGCTTTGAAAATTTGCTTTACACTCATCAATATGGAATCATTCATCAAGTTTAATTCGAATTTTTCTCGTTATTTTCGTGACACACGACCTGAAAGGGGTGTTGAAGTGTTTAGAGTAGAATATTGCAATTACCCCCTGTCCTCTCCCTACAGACCATTACCAACAGCCTATGAATCTTATATGGTAGGTCATATACAGATTGATGAATCGAAGTGATGATCCAAAATCTTATATAAGCACCATCTACTAGAAAAGCTTATCAAGTGGTTGCATTTCAAGTTTAGCTACTAAATATTCAACAACACTGGAGAAGTGCGTTCTGAAATGCATAAAACAGAGAATTTTTCAGAGATTTGGGAGGATGAAGTATATTGTGTTTCACATATTTACTCTCATAGGAATTACGCTATCAGGTTTTCTGTTTGGCAACTGCAAATTCTTACGAAATACTTTACACGTGTTGTTTTACTTTACAAAAGATCAAATTTTTTTTATGATATGAAAACTAATATTCAACAATGATATTTGGTTACTCGATGCGGATGACAACAGAACACATCCTATTCCACGATGTTGAGCATTGCGGAATCAGTTCCGCCCATGGACTCAAATTCCATCGATTTCGGAATTCTGACGATTCATTTCAGTCACAATTCCCAGAAATTCCGTCCACTTTCTTCCAATTCTCTTTTGGTTCAATTCCCGGAATTCTATACTAGATTTTCTAAAATCAGATGTGTGTGAATAAAAGAAAGGACTCATACTCCCACTCAGACCTACAACCACACCCACTCTCAGCTATTCAAAATAAAGTTGCTCTCCTGCTTTATTTGTGATCAAGATTGAACGCCAGTTTCTGGACAAACAGTTCAGTTTAGGATGAAGCGAATCGAATATCAATGAGAATAATTTTTAAGTTCGTAGCTGTAAAATATATCGACGAAATGTCTAATTAATCTAATGATTTCTTATGCCAAAGCATGTGCGAATACGTTGAATAATATGTTGAATAGCTGCCGTAAATTCTTTTTTGTATTGCTCTGATGGTAATATATATACTATAAATGTAACCATGGATGGAGTAAAAGAAATAAAATAACCGAAAAGATATAACCATGGGTTTCTTGGCGATTTCATACATCCACTGATAAATGATATAATGAGACGAGGTAAAGCCAATAATATTAACGCACATGATGCGAATAGATGATGTCTGTGGTGATTAAAATATCGTCGTAGATGTACACCGAATGGTATTGTATTTTGAGTTTGCCAACGAGAGATAGCTATGTGCTTAATTGTTAATATGGTAGAAATTATATTCACCGAGAAAGGAACAACAAAATGAAAAAGTGTAATGAACATATTGAAAATATTTAATGCAGAAGAATATTGAGCTATACACCAAGTTCGTTGTTCATCAACGTCAATATCATCAATTAAACGACGATGAAGAGGATCTTGAATATGAGTAAGAATTGTTATCAAATATATGCATGGAAAAATCCATTTAGCTACCTTCTTGCTTCTAAGTTTATTGAAACTAACACCTTGGATAACGGTAAATACTCGTTCAAGTGCAATACAAGCATAAAACCAATCATTTGATGCTAAAAGAACTTTGAGGGTCATATCTAATAATATACAATTCCATGTAAGGAATAATCGATTGCTAATAATTGAAATTTGTGATAAAAGTAATTGCCAAAATTTAATTATTAATACAATAATTAAACACAAGGAATTCCATGATGAAACAAGGAGATAGATACTACAACCGTTTTTTCTTATTGCTTTACTTTGGAATGTTATGATAGATGAGATTCCATTGAACAGTCCTACAATAAACATAACTACTACAATGGCAATACTTATTTTAATAATGAATGGCTGTCGGTGAATTGAAACATTTGGTTTAATATTATAACTGAGAATATAATCAAGGGATAATGCAAAACCTTTTGTAGAAAACTGACATTTTGTACCATAATAACATGCCGGACACACACAAATCGATGTAAGAGGACATTTAAGAGTATCTTGAAAGCATAGGCCATCATTTTTGCAAATATTTTCTCCTTGACAATCATGTGATATAGTGTGATTGAATGTAAAACAATTGGCAAATCGATTAATATCACATATACACATGTATTTTTCATCATAGAAACACTTCATTTGTTCTTTTTGTTGACATAAATAAGGATAATACTTAATACGACGAAGCAAATAATAATTTGAAAACGTATTATTCATTAATTCGTGTATAGATGAACATCGATAATTCGGTAAGATTTTCGTTGGAATATATTCCGACTCGATAAATCTTTCCCTTAATACAGCTAAATAATAGGTTCGGTTAGTTAATTCAATAAAAACAGCATGAAATGGATCGGTCGTAAAAACACTAATTAGATTCTGTGCAAATTTTATCTTTTTTAATAATGTATTACGCTGATGGCCACCATTTTCAATTGAAGTAATAAAATGTACCCAAATAATTGACATCATACCGATATTTTCATCATTAAATGTAATATCAATTTGATTTTTGAAATTTTCACATTTTATTCCGAAGAAATTCTCTGTACACAAACATGTAAAAGTATTCAAACCCATACGATCATCATGAGGTATGCAGATTCCATTATTTTGACAAGGATTCTTAGGAATTTGACAAATTGAATTTTTTAAATAACACATTAGACCGAATTTGTGTAGTGGACAAACACAAATTGACGATCTAAGACAATATGAATCCAGTGAACAAGAACAATTGTGTTGAATGTTACATTGCAAACCCGAATATCCCTCGTCACATTGACAGAAGTACGAGAAGTTTCCATTCATGTATGGTACACATCGGCCATGTTCGCTACAAAATAAAGAACATGATTTCGAAATTATTTTTGAGTTTGGAATAAATAGTTGAGCCACTATTCGATTAACTGGTAGAAATTGAAATGGAATAGAAAGATGCCAACTTCCTATGTAGCTTAATGTCATTTTATCAAGCAAATCAATATGTATCGAATAATTAGTAGAAGAATCTTTTGGCTGATTTGGATAAAGTAAATAAATATTATATTTTGTGCCACAATCGCGTTTTGGTACGAATGTGATTTGTTCATGATATGATACGCTTTGACTTCGTTCATCAATAAGCATGACAACCACTTGAAAAGCTGTCATAATGTAAGTATCAGTACGATAAACTAACTGTAGTGTTAAACTTATTCGTTGATTTTGCCATTGACATTGACTGCCAAAATAACTTGGTGGACACAAACATTTCTGTGTATTTTGATCATTAAAAAGAATGCGAATTCCTCGATTACAATACCACATTGTTATATGGTCAGATTGTACATTGATTATTGGTTCTTTCTTAATCATAGAACTATTTCGTTTAGATTCGATAGTTAGTTTTGGTGGAAAATATCCCAATTGCGACGATTTAAAAGTCCATTCTGTGATTTCAAATCTTTTGAAAGGTTCTCTTATAATAGGGCAAATATGTTTTTCAATTTGTAACAGCCAGTATTTCTCTCCTGTTGAAGAGAAAAACCCGCTCGGTCCAATGAACAATAGTCCAAAACTACCATATAGATGATTAGGTATGGTACATATTTCACTTGTATGTAGACATGAATTGGCGCTTGAGGGAATTGTTGTCTTATTGTTGTTGATTGTAGTATTAAAAGACGTTGCATATTCTGTGTAAAGAATATCACAATTTAAATATTCTTCCATTAAAATCATTATCGAATAACAAATTTTGTCGGACAACAGTGTATTACGTACTCCATCATCATGTGATTCGCATTTTATAATGGGACAGTTTAATTCATCAGCACCATCAGCACAATCTTTAACATGATTACATTGAGTATAAATATTATTGCATGGCCAATACTCGCAGTTCGTTTCATCAGTATCATTAAATTCTGATAAAAATGGATCATTATTGCGATTACATATCAGACTAAATGGAACGATTCCTTTTAACATATCACGTTGACTGTTAGTCATTTCATCTTCACCACCTTTACAATCTTTGTTTCCGTTCTGCAATAATATTGGCGATAAACATTTGTCTGGTTCTGATTCACAAATAAATCGTCGTGAATGGTTCAGATGACACGCATGAAACGCTTCATCTTCACCAAAGTAGCAGTCGGATATACCGTCAAGTAGACGATGTTTGGAAATGCATTTTAATGAAAGTGGACAATGAAAAAGTGATGGGTGTGAGCATGAGTGCTCTACACCTGTTGTGGAGCAGCGGAAAAATAGATTGTTAATAGCGTCAAATAGATTGCTCGTGTCAGTAAATGATGTATCCATTAATTTCGAGGAAGGACAACAAACTAGTCCATCATCTAATCCTATATCTATGACACAATTGGTGAATGTTGGACAGTCTTGAACATAGAAACAAATAAAATCAGGATGTTGCTGAGCAATGAAGTCTTCCACTAATCGATGAGATAAATAAACAAAGTGGAACTTCCAAAAAGTAAAGAAAAATTTAGTTTTAAAAATCCATTTCGATAAACATTTTTTGTTTGTAGCTGCACATGACATCATACTATATATGGAGCCTGATTGATTAAGTATTGGCTGTAGATACGACACACTGGAGGCCAATGTTGATTCGAATATTTCGTCTGGAATGTCGAATACAATTGGGCTCCAAACTAGTAGTCGATGCTTATGTTCTAACCAATGTCGAAGGTTGTTGCAGAAGAATGGGGTTTGTATAATATCAGTGAGAAAGTATTGGCCATCACCGCATGGAAAAGAGCGTTGGTATAGTCCAGTATGTTCTTCGCATCGAAACATTGGTATCCTAAAGCAGTTGCTACTGAAACGATAAGTACTTTCCTCATTCAACTGCATCTCATCAGTGCCGTCAAGACAATCAGCGGTATTAGGTCCATCCCGTACAAATTCCAATGGAATACACTGTCCACCGAAATGACATCGATATGTATCATGAGGACATTCACTCATTTCCAACATTTGACAATTTTCTTCATCCTTTCCATTGATACAATCAAATTTTCCATCACAAATCATGCGCCAGTCAAGACACGTTATTGGTGCATTACTAATACAATTATTTAGAAAAGAATAACATGTAGCGTTGAGATATTCCAGCTTTATCATATTAGAAGAGCGAGTAGAAAATTCTAGTCGAACAATATCATGAAAAGATGCTCCGATATTGTTATAGAATCTGTATTGACATTTTGAACCAAACCAAGGTGACGAACAATTATAAAAAACCTCTGTTGAATTTACACCATTTATTTCATATTTTTCAGCGACATTAACTGGTGCTGACCAGTCAAGTAATTGAGCACTTGTTACACCTTGTTCATACAATTCTTCAAATGTAATGATATTGTTTATATTACTCTGTGAAATATTTGATAAGTCATCCGGTGCTTCATTTTGATCGAATCTTCGACAATATGGAACAAGCTGATTCATCGTTCTATACGGAAAATCAACATAGTTGTCATAATCTATCAAATGAGCGTAAAGACAGTCAAAGACTGATTTAAAGATTGATGGATCATTGGTATCATAAAGAAGATATTGAGTGTCAAGTACATTCAATGATAATAGAAATATCAGTAATTGTAGACTATTCATGATTGATTAGATTCCAACTAATTCATAAACCTTCTCTTCTTATCACTGTATGATGGAAAAGAGAATGTTATATATAATAAAGATACGACAGTTTTTTATATCCTTGTAGGATTTCTAAAAGCTACGGCAGATGCTGTTAAAGTTATCATAAAAGCTATGATATCTATAAAAGTATACATATTTACTGACAACGCACGCATTTGAAGAAGATTCCGGACACATAAGTATATTTTTATATTTCCTGCTTTGTGAGACAGAAAAAGAGATTTTTTTTCATTAATGGACAGTTGTTACTTGGAACTACAACTATGTAGTTTCCTTAATTTCGAGGAAAAATGCATTGTTATCTTATATTCCCATTGTGATGTAACACATGCTGAGCAATCTTATCTCTTTTCCATATAGTTTACATTGTAAAAGTTTATTTTTCGTCAATTATGTATTATGAAGACAGGTGAAGCGCATTTTTATCGTTCTAGCAGTGCGCAAATACTGTGATTTTAATGGTAAAAACCTATTAATGCAATCTTTTTGGCAGGATAATGTAGATCGCAATGTTCCCGTTGCCACTTTTCTTCTAAAAGTTGTTTTTTTCTTCTCTATACTAATGTATGTTTCTCCATCATTCCTTACTTCCAATACAGAAATTGAACCAAGGAATTCTTAACATACTCTCAAATAAGATACTAATTTTACAAGAAATTTGATTGTCTCTAAAAGCAAGTTGGTTACTCGTAATGAATGAATTAGGCAGTAATTAGTCAATAAAAATATCTTCAGATTTGGAGATGATCCTTTTACTGAGAGTTGTTTTGCATTATTCAGAATACTTTTGCAATTAGAAACTTTTGCTTCCGTTGCTTCTAATTAAAAATGCAATTCAATCAATTCATTTTAGATCTCATCCGATAATCATGTACTTTTCATAATGTGTTCTTACTACGATTGTTTTATCATTTTCCAGTGATTCATATTTTTTTATCGTTTTTTCCATCTGTTGACAAGAAACTATCTATGTTTTGATATAAAAAAGCAAAAACTTATAAATTTTATTATTCTAAGAGAAGAAGATTTCGTGAAACGTGTGAGCAGTTACTCGACTTCTGAACTAATCCCTATATCTTTGCTAGAAGAAATCAATTTCGAATAAGTTTCAAAATGTAGCTCATAATAATCATTGATCGGTCTCCTTTGCCATAAAAGTGCCAGATTTGTCATAGCATTCAAATTTAGTCTGTTGTCTGCGAAGAAAGAAAACATTCACTATTCATTCGCACGTAAGAAAAAGAGGTTTTTGACTAATCAATATCTAAGTAATTATTTTATAATGCTGTGTAAAATCAAAGAAGCGCACTGCTAGAACGATAAAAATGCGCTTCACCTGTCTTCATAATACATAATTGACGAAAAATAAACTTTTACAATGTAAACTATATGG